TCTCAACATCTTCAACCAAAAGACTTCGATTTTCTTCTTTTTTCAGTGGTTCTACGGATTTCAAACGGGAAGGGGGGGTGCCCCACTGCAGTAGAAAAAGCTTGAGTAATGAAAAAAAAAAATTATCTTGATTTTTTTTTTCATTTCTCAGATTTTTACTGCAGTGGGCACCCCCCTCCCGTTTGAAAATCCTAGAACCACTGAAAAATGAAGAAAATCGAAGTCTTTTGGTTGTAAGATGTTAGTAAAAAAAAGTTGGAATATGTAGTGTTATGGATAATTAGGATTGTTGTTGGTAAAACTCTTGTTTATGAAATATTTACACTTACCTGACATGGTTAGCTTCAGCATATCAAAGAACCCCAATAATTCAGTTTTATTGAAATCAAACAAAGCTTACTTTTGGACCCTTTGGACCTCAATGTGGACCAATTTAAAAACTGGAACCAAAATCCAAAATCTAAATACATGGTTAAATTCAGCATCTTAAAGACCCACAAATTCAAAACTTTGACTTAAAGTAACCCCACTGAAATCGGTCAAGAAATAAGCAATTTATACAAAGTATTAGAAAAGTATTGTTTTTGGACCCTTTTTCCTAAACAGTTTGGGTCATTACCCCCCCCAAAATCAATCCCAACCTTCCTTTTTGATATGAAACCTTGTGGTATAATTTCATAGAGATACATAGACTTTAATATACACAAGTTATTGTCTGGAAACCAGAAAATCATTGATTTTGGCCCCTTTTTAGCCCCTAATTCCTAAACAGTTTGGGCCATAACCCCCAAAATCGTTCCAAACCTTCCTTTTAAGGTATGAAACCTTGTGGTTCAATTTCATAGAGATCAATACACTTATACACAAGTTATTGTCCTGAAACAAGAAAAATGCTTGTCTTTGGCCTTGAATTTTCAAATATTTAGAACAATAACCCCAAAAATCAATCCCACCCTTCCTTTTGTGTATAGAACCTTGTGGTACAATTTCATAGCAATCCATACACTTATACTCAACTAAATGAATTTGGACGATGAAGACAAAGACGTCAACGACAGTGTCATACCATTATACATTTGTACTACAGCAAAAAATTTGTGGTCATTAAAAAATTAACAAATGTAACAGGAAGTAGAGGTAAATTGCAAATAGTTAAGGAGGCAGGTAAGTGGAAATATCGAAGTTAACTTATGGTTACATTCCCAATGAAAGCTGATAACCCTGAGATGGGGTATAGCCGATAAACTTCCAAGAGTTGGAAGGGCATCTAAACATAATCTGTTTATCATTTTTACCTCGAAAATATCTTTGACGTTGGCTTATTATGGATCAACTTTTATTATAAGTTGTACTAAACAAGAAACAAACTATTAAGATACCAGAATACTTGTCTGATCGATAAATTTATCGATTGTGTAGGTTTCTCAATTGGGACATATGGATTGCGTGTGGATTTGCATGGCGGTGATGTATGCATAGTAGGATATCAGGAGAGGCTTACTCTGTTGATGCAACTGATCTCTGCCTTGGAGTTCAAGTAATTCTTTTTGAAATTTTGTTCTTTTTACCTTGATTTATATATATCATGTGTATCTTCTTATTACATGTATTTTATTTGAACATAGGAAAACAACTGTGTCACCAGCCCAGCAGTTAGTACTTCCAAATGAAAATATGGATGTTACAAAATTTTGGAAATATGTTTATATCAAGGAATATATCTCCCTCATGCTAATTCCTTGCTGGCTTTGGCTATATATTTATTGATTTATAGGCTCTTTATCTTTTTAATCAGTGTTGGATTTTAAAATAATTTGGACTGTAGCATCACTGAAGAGACATTTATTGTTGAAATGCACATCTGGTGCAGAAAAAAATGATACAGTTAATGTTATTGCATCACATTTAACATAGAGATAATGTGTAACCAAATAACAAAACTTCCAATGGAACAGCACACGCTTTCAAACTGTAATTGTTTTGATTTGGAAAACTGATTTTAGAGACATACACATTCGGTTTGATGTCATTTGCTTCTTTAAAATATTTGCTATTTTTATCAAGAAAATTAAAAATCAATTTCATTTAAACTTCTTAATACAAAAATATGTACAATGTTAAAAGCCAGTGCAATTTACATTAAATCAATTCAAGTACAACACCCATTTATCAGAATTGTATGTGACTTGTCAAAACAGATTGGAAAATAATTGTTGTGCAATAGAAAGCGATTGTACAGAGAGCATCTGCTATCAAGATAGATATCCAAAACCATATAAAGTGAAGCAATGTTTGAAAGGCTGAAAAACAGGCAATTGTCCTATTTTGAATTTTCTAGTAACTTACAAGGTCACAAATTGTGTACCAATATATTCTTAAATAGGCCACTCTATCCTCAACATCATCATGATCATCTTTTTCATTATACCTTTAAACTATTTTTACTATCTACTATATCTGAGGTCAGATAAATTTTGTAAAGGTCAGGACAACTTCTGATATAAAGATCAAACAGGGCGTCTTGATAATAAAGGTGTTGTGATAACTCTATCTCATATGTCATCAGAAGGTCAAGTCAAACATCTTGACACAATAAGGTAGTTTGAATGTTTCAGCACACTGATATGCTTTTATTATTATGTACTATTATAAACTGTACCAGTTTTACTGCACCAGATGTGCATTGCGACAATCAATGTCTCTTCAGTGATGCTTGAAGCCAAACTATTTGAAAATCCAAGAAGCTAATACAAAAGTTGAAGAGCTGATAAACCAAAAAGGACAAACATAAAGCTGAACCTGGACAAGGAATCTGAGTTACGCATGAGGGATATACATTTCTAACTTTATAATGATTTAGAAATTTCATGACAGCAAATTTTAATAAAACACAATCAGTATTTTCCTACCAGTACAGAGGTACCGGCTATTGGGCTAATCATACCCTCAGGAACTATCACATATAAAAGAATTACTCGTATAATTTACAGGATGTTTTGATGGAAACCTAAATTCCAACTGTCTTGGTTGGAATGATCAGTTTCGATGTATAAAAGGAACATATGCACAATTATGCAATTATATGAATATAATGAAACTTCTCAAAAATTAATGAAAATCATATAATCCCGATTCAAAAGGACAAAATGGAGAAAGTGCCCCTATGAAATGTTATTATTTTAATTATTATGAAATAATTGCGGTTAACAATACATTGTTAAAAATCATCAATCTTCCATTTTTATACAGCCAGTTAACAACTTTCAATAAAATTTTATCTCATATTATAATTTCGATATTTTATTGTAATTTTCTTGATTGAATACAATATAACATTTACATGTATCTATCCTCCATATTAAAAGACTATAATATCTGTACAGGTAAAATTAATTCTAATCAAGCTGGTACAGATTGATTTATGACCTTCCACTGATATTACACAGGTTATATCACAGCAGGTTAGACAACTGTCTGACCAGTCTGACATCTTGCAGGATTAAGGCACAATGAATCCCAAGCATGGCTCCTATGACACCATGGTGTCACATGACCAACTTCTATGACAGTGATGTCTAAAGCCTGACCCTTATGACACCATGGTGTCTCATGCCCAACTTCTATGACACAATGATGTCCCAAGCCTGACCCTTATGTCACCATGGTGTCCAATGCCCTTCTATGACACAATGATGTCCCAAGCCTGACCCTTATGACACCATGGTGTCTCATGCCCAACTTCTATGACACAGTGATGTCTAAAGCCTGACCCTTATGACACCATGGTGTCTCATGCCCTTCTATGACACAATGATGTCTAAAGCCTTACCTTTATGACACCATGGTGTCCCATGCCCAACTTCTATGACACACTGATGTCCAAAGCCTGACCCTTATGACACCATGGTGTTCCATGCCCAACTTCTATGACACAATGATGTCCCAAACCTGACCCTTATGACATCATGGTGTCCCATGCCCAACTTCTATGACACAATGATGTCCCAAGCCTGACCCTTACGACATCATGGTGTCCAATGTCAGACTCCTATGACAGCATGCTGTCCAAAGCTTGACTTCTACAACACCATGCTGTACCATGCATGAGTTACTGACAGCTAATTCAAGGCCAATAACAACTAATAAAAATTGGTTTCCCAAAAATAATTATGAACCAGCGACTCTTTTCACAAAAAATCTTACGATTAAAATTGATCATAAGCTATACTGAAATGTGTATGACTTCAAGTATTTTTACTCTTAAGATTTTTTATGAATAGAGTCGCAGCAGTAATAACTATAGCACTGCTTACCTTTCCCTTTCATTTCTTGCATAGAATAAGCAAACCCTTTAGTTCTAGGTAAGAGATGATGTTTGAGTTCAGGATAGCCTTTCTGTCTGGCCACTTCACAACTGGCTTCATGTTTCTCAGGCGTGTATCTGGTTCCTTCAGGAAAAAGGAGCAACTAACAAAATACATATGCATTAAATAACAGTTTACATGGAAAATAAACACATGTATATCTTGATCCTTTAAGCTCCCATTGAATTTAAGCATCTTTTTAGTTTTCTAAACATATCATTTTAGAATTTTTGTGAGACTCCCAGGCAATTCCATATCTTATCCCCAATCTACTACATTCTGTGTAGAATTGATTTGATCAGTGAATGTAATTTGCATTTCTAGTGAAATTAAGAACAAGAAAAATCTTCTTTTTTTTCAGCTCACTGTTGACACTATTTGTAAACTTCGTACACATCATAAACTTCTGTCCATTCTATTAAATATCATAATTATGCATTTTAATAATGAGTAAAGCTAAAGCAGTATTTACCGTAAACCAGTATCCATCAGGGAAGGCAACCAGTTCCTTGACACCATCATGTATGCGTTTTTTATCTTTGTTCCAGTCTCTCTTTAAGAATATACTCTCAACAAATATCCAGGACCAACCCATAGTAGGTACGAATCGTAGTGATTCCTTGCCATATATCTTGGTTCCCTGAAGAATATGTAAAGGGAGATAATTCAAATTTTGTTTTTATTGGACTTATGATTTTCAATTGTCAAGATGGTTTCTTCTCGCTTCTTTGCAGCCTATTAAGCAAAAAATTAATTTTCATATATGTTTTGGAACTGTTTTTTCTGAGTTTTTCAGAAGTAAAGATATAGAATATGATTAAACCATTCTCTCATAAGAAACCGTAATATATATATTTTTTCTACTGAAGACTTCTGTTCAAAAGTGACATGTGCCCTTTTGAACCCTCTCTTTAAAAAATCTAAAGTAACTGTTTGAGATCTGAAGCATCCTCAATTATTATCAGTGGACTATTAATGGTACACAGATCGAAGTACATGTAGTACTGTACATTGAAAATATCTATTCAGAGTACAACAATAGGCATAATTGATTTGTTGATGTTAAATTATTAATCAAATATACACTCCTCAATAACAATGACTTTCCATGCATGCAACATAAAATAATATTGATTGTTTCCTTAAAATTTCTTATCAAATGCAGTTTCAAAACATAAACAAGCTGGCTCTTCATTGAAATGAAATTACTAATATTTAAGGGGAGGTAATTCAAATAAAAAATGTATGGAGGTTAAATTCATTTGAGAAAAATAATATATTTATTGCATCTCTTCACACATGTTGTCACAAGAGAATATGCATCAAATCTGTCATTCAGTTAAGTCAAAAATTTCCAAATCATTAAGATGAAAAACATTCCTATCTATTTCTGTTATTTCAAATAGGAAATTAAAGTTACAAAAGAGAGCTGCTAGAATAATACTAGAAACAGACCCATTCGCTCCTTCCGAGCCCTTATTCAAACACTTTAACTGGATGACAGTTGAACAGAGAATAAAATATCACAAGTTTGTGATGACATTTAAGTGCATAAAAAATGATTCCCCATCATATCTTACTAGCAAGTTTCATTATGTTTCAGACAGAAATCCATACCCCTTGAAAAATGCTGTTCAAGGAAATCTCAACCTAAACCAAAAATAGAATTGTTCAAGAAATCTTTTATGTATTCTGGACCATTCTTATGGAATAATTTGCCAATACTGATAAGAAATATTACAAATGTTAATTCTTTCAAATACAAAATAACAGATCATTTATTGAAATCAACCTGTTGAAAAAAAATATTGAATACTGATTATGTTTATTTTTTATAACATTTTATCAAGTTGTACTGAACATTATCATCATACTTGACTTTTATACTTATGTATGCCATGGATATGTTTGCATTTTTGTTTATGCTTTTTCTATGATGAGGGCCTCAGGGAAGATTAGTTATATAGCTAACTTCGTAACCCTCTTAAAATAAAGTACCGTTTTGTTGTTGTTGTTATTTAAAAAATTGCATCAATTTAATTGCTTAGATACCTACACCAATTAAATCATATCTTTCAGCTAAAATCCATGCCATCAACCAATCAATTTCATATGTATGGTTCATTATGACAACAATATGTTCTGTAGCAATGTGTTCTCTTTCATCTGGGTGCATGTACAGTATACAGTCACAGCCAGACCACCATTCAGCCACAAAAGTAAATTCTGTAAAAATGTAAAATAAACATCAAACAACTTTTTGCAAATGTGGACATAGAGAAATGTGATACTTGAATAAAGTAACATTGCAAAGAAAAAAAATATTCAAAAAATTCCAAAAGGGGTGAAATTTTATAGAAATATCCATTGATTTTTTGAAGTCCTTCAAAAACCTTTCTTGCACAATTTCAAAATGGAGAAATTTTATTAATGGTAAGATTGTTTAATATTATCAATTTTATTACATCTATCATCATTCTGAAAAACCCGAGTCCCATGCTTGAGATGTTTTAAAGATTCACTGTAATGGTCCAATGATTATATCAATTATGCCAGGCCAGAATATTTAATTTGAAGTGTGCTATTGTGTATTACCAGATACATGTATTATCAACATGATCAAGGAAGGCTTTACTAAGAATTACTAAAATTTAAGTTTTGAGTTTTAACATGTTTAATACATTAACAAATCTATACAAGTTTTCAGTGGATAGATTATTTAGATATTAAGTATCAGGTGCTTGAATTTTATTCAGCTCAACATCAACCTATTGTCTTGTTTACTTTGCTCATTTCCTTAAATTCTATTTTTGACTTTTGAGTCACATGTGATATTATCCATTATTATACATGACATCACGTTAAAATGCCAGATTTTGAATTGGTTACTCTCACCACGGTTGACAATAATTTCTCAGGGTTACAATCTACGCTATCACCTTCTAAGCTATGTGTCAATTAAATAATATTAAACACTCATAATCTATACATAGAGAATATCATATGGCTTTTTCAATATCACATCCGTATCAATCAGAGACACCAATATAATCCCAAGAGCTCTGCTCGAGGGATTATATTGGTTGAGGGTTGATACGGTGTGTGATATTGAAAAAGCCATATCATATACACATTATTATATACATATACCTCACGTAGATGTTTTTTATGAGACATGACGTCATACAAGTAAGGAGGTTTGAAATGACGTCATACAGATTATAGGTTTGACATGACGTCATACAGATTAGGGGTTTGATGAAGCCTTTGCAACAGTGACTGCAATCGATGATGTGACGTCATACAGATTAAAGGTGTGATAAAGCCTTTGCAACCGTGCTGATATCGATATCATCACGGGTGGCTGATACAGCATGCTGGCCAATGATTGTATTACACATACAATTTATCTGTATTTACTACTAAGTATATAATAAAGATACTTACGGCTCCAATAAGATCTAACTAACCACCAGTTAACTTTTCGGTAAAGACTTTTATCGAACGGCCATATAACCATGGAACATAGTTGTAGAAAGTTGACAAACAGAGCACTGACAAGGTAGATATATACAAACAGCAAATAAAAAATGGATTCAATCATCTTCTTTCTGAAAAATATTGTCATGGAGTAAATTAAGTATAAGGGCCATATTTAGGTCTGAATATCCAGTCCGTGAAAAAAACATGTATGTTACAAGCGTAAGTGAATAATCAGGGCTGGGTTTAGTCAGACTACAGGCTGATCAATTCCAAAAAAAAGTGTTTTGAATCAATTGCCAATCTTTCCAAATAAATAAAATTTTCGCTACTGATACATTTTATTATCTTACCTAGCTAGATTTGAGCTTTATTTTTTTATTTCTAAGTATGCCAGTCCATTATATTAAAGTGCATGATATATATATATTACTTGCTAAAGTATAGGTCCTTGAAAGACATAAATTGTTAAGGAATAATAAACATTTAAAATGTTAATTAATGTATTAAAGATATTTTAGACAAGATTAAACTGTCTCATACCTAAAAAAGTTTTTTAGAATAAATATCATGAATATGGTTTATCTATTTTACAAACAGGCCCAAAACAACCCTTTCATGGGGATGAATCCACAAAAACAACCTATGAATATAGAGTCCCAAAACTATTGAGGATCTTACCGGTATCACAGCTTACTAGAATTAAAAAAAAGCAAGGAAAAAACAATATTTCCCAGCATCTGTGCACAGCCACAGGCATTTGCCTATGAAAAAAAACAAGGTGACGTTTTTTTATCAGTAAAAGTGCTTGTAAGAAACAGGCAAAATGACACCAATAGCTGGTATTGACTTTGATCCGTTCACCAAGACAAAAAGTTGTTTACCCTCCTCCCCTTTGATTGTCCAATTGTAACATATATCCATTCAGATAAACAGATATGTCCTACATTGTACATGTTATTTTTAAACTTTGAAAATCAAATTAGTAAAAACCCATTAAAACACTGGAGTATGATGGGATGCCATAGATGTAATCGTGTTTACCAGTGAACTTCTAGTGGCAAATAAATTTGGCCAATTGGTGCAAGAACAGGTTGGGAACTATCCCTCAAAGTGATGATTATCCCATTTACAAGGGGTAAAATTCAAGTAAGAATTTTTTTTTTAAAACAACTTTTAAGTACAAAAGGGCACATTTTGACATTATTTGCAGAAATTTTTCTCAAAGGACAATATGACTATGTCTATAATCTGGAATTATATCGTCAAAATGTGTCCATGAATTTTAGAACATTCATGGACTTCAATCTTCTTTATTATTGAAAATAAGAGGACCCCTGTTTTAGAAGAGTTATTCCAAATATAATGAATTTTCCCCCTTTTAAGTTAAAAAGGCTTAGTTTTTCTTTTTTTTTTATACAACAGCAAAAAAAAAACTTGTCTGAGGGAGAGTCTCATATTTAACATGTTTAAGGGGTATCCCTGATTGGTATCAGGTCCGTTTGCTCCCAAAACACATTCGCCCCCTGGGTCCAATCCCACCCTATTTTTATTCAAATACCGGTTGAATTATTAGATGTTTTTTAGACAATGTTAGATGTGTATCCAAATATTTATATTTTCATGAATTTTTTAAATGAAAAGTAGTTTAATACAGTAGCTTAGTAGGAATTATAAACAGCTGTGCCATGAGCGAATGATACGCTCGTCGATTTTTTAACGAATAAAGTTCAATAACTTCTCAATGTCATATCAGAAATTTGTGAAAAACTAAAGGGAGGTTATCTTAATTGATATAAACCAGTCACCAAAGTTTAATAAAAACTGCTCAAAGCACTTTAAAATTATTGTTTGAAAACTAGAAAATCATCCCTTTTTTATGAATAAAATCCCATAACTCGTAGTGTAAAATCTAAAATTTATGAAAATTGAAAGGGAGCTTACATCAATAGATATAAACAATTCTCCAAAGTTTCATGAGAACTGCGGAAAGCATTTTTGAGTTATTGTCCGAAAACTGGAAAATCCCCCTTTTTTTTAATGAATAAAACTCCATAACTCGGAAACATAAAATCTAAAATTTATGAAAATTGAAAGGGAGCTTACATCAATAGATATAAACAATTCTCCAAAGTTTCATGAGAACTGCGGAAAGCATTTTTGAGTTATTGTCCGAAAACTGGAAAATCCCCCCTTTTCTAATGAATAAAACCCCATAATTCAGAAACGTAAAATCTAAATTTTGAAAAAAACAAAAGGGAGATCACATCAATAGATATGAACAATTCACCAAAATTTTATGCAAATTGGTTGAAGCGTTTTTTAGTTAATGTCCGACATGTTAACAACAGACAACGGTATACCATAATACATCCCGTAAACAGGCGTATAAAAACAGTGAGGATTTTAAATGAAATAAAATGCTTCACTGAGCGCAGCTGGATACGACCGCAGAGATCCAACCCTGAACAGTTGGGGCGAAAATGGACACAATATTCGTGCTTGATACAGGTCTGAATTTGGATTGTAATTAAATATTCGACACATAATATGTTTCTGACACCGAATAACTGTAGTCAAAGAACTTGGAATTGGTTATATGATTTGAATTTATATTCAATTGTTTGCTTTTGTGCAATACACTATGCTGTTGCGAATTGCCCCCCTCCCCCCCCCCCCAAAAAAATAATTTACCCCCCCTTTTTTTTGCTTTTGTGAAATTCACTATGCTGTTGCGTATTGACCCCTCCCCCCCCCCTTTTTTTTGCAAAAATATTTGAAGAAATTTTTTTTTTAATTTCTGAAATCTGAAATGAAAAAAAAAATTGCCCCCCACAATTTCTTTTTTTACCCCCTTTTCAAAAAAAAAAATTCTTTCCCTCAAGATTTGGTCATAATCTCAATTCAAATTTCCAATGGAGTTTGCAACCATAATTACCAATTTAAATACATCATAAAAGTCTTAAATAGATAATTTAAAAGCAGTGTAAGGGAGGTAATCCAACATTGTACAACATTGTACAATTTTGTTTTTGGATTACCTCCCTTACACTGCTTTTAAAGTGTCCATAAACCAGGAAACCATTGTTTCTTCCCCTTTTTTGCCCCTAATTCCTGAACGGTTTGAGCCATAACCCCCCAAAGCCAATCCTTACCATCCCTTTGTGGTATGGAAACTTGTGGTATAATTTCAGAGAGATCCATACACTTAAACACAAGTTATTGTCTAGAAGTTACAAAAATGCTTATTTTTGGCCCCTAATTCCTTAACTGTTGGTACCATAACCCCCAAAATCAATCCCAACCTTCCTTTTGTAGTATTGAACCTTATGGTAAAATTTCATAGAGATCCATTCACTTAAACTAAAGCTATTGTGCGAAAACCCATGTGTCTTTGGACGACGACATCAACACCAAACCAATATACGACTGTTAAAAATTTTTGTGGTCGTATAAAAAGATGAAAGATATGTTATTTTTAGGCAGTGGCTATTTTGCCGGCTCCAGCCGCCAAAATAGCAATTTATATAGAGTTTTGCTATTTTGCCGGTCTTAATTCAGATTTTTCAGTATAATAATTATGAAAAGAAAGAAATATAGAAACATACAATTTAACATGTTTAAAACCCTTTCGCCGACGAATCCCGGTTTACCGGGATTCACGCTTCAGACAGCTGACGATGAGTCCCTGTTTACCAGGATCAGAATACCTCTTTGACATTTCCCGCTAAAAACATTGAAAACACAAGTTATCTTTCTTTGTTGAATACCCGGATGAAAGTGTAAACATGGCGCTTCTGTTTGTTGAAAACCGTGTCAAAATCAGATGAATTTTACGGATTTTACTAGAATTTGAAATAAGGAAAAAAAATTTTTGAAAGAATAAGGAAGAATTGAAGCCAGACTAGTATACTTTCTTGACATAAAATGCTGTTTTATGTACAATTAAATGCTTCGCTGAGCGCAGCCTGATACGACTGCAGAGGTTGAACCCTGAACAGTTGGGTCAAATTTGGAAATAATATTCAAGCTTGATACTGTCTGAATTTTGATTGTGATCAAATTTTTGACATAATATAGGCTTCTGACACAAAATAAATGTGGTAAAAGATCTCACAAATCTATTGCGCAATACTGTACAATTGAAGATTACTTCTTGAAACTTTTACAAAATTTGAAATTTGAAAATTTTTGAAAAAATATGAATTCCTTAAAAAAATTGGAAACCCCCCTGACTTTTGGAAACCCCCCTTGGAGCAATTACCCCAAGACTCGATCCAATTCTTTCCTTTGTAGTATGGAACCTTGTAGTACAATTTCAGAGAGATCCATACACATCTAACACAAGTTATTGTTTGGAAACTAGAATAATGCATGTTTTTGGCCCTTTTTTGGCCCCCAATTCCTACATGTTTGAGGCAATTACCCCCAAACTAAATCCCAGCCTTCCCTTTGTGATATGGAACCTTATGGTACAATATCAGAGAGATCCATACACTTACTACAAAAATTGTTGTTTTTGGCCCCTTTTAGGCCCTTAATTCCTAAACTGTTTGCCCCATAACCCCTTATATGAATCCCAACCTTCTACTTGTGGTATTAAACATTGTTGTACAATTTCAGAGCAATCGAAAGGCTTACAAGTTTTTATTGATATTTAATATGAAGATCTCCCACTTGTGTCATAATAGCCAGGGAAGCCATCGTCTCAGAGTAGCTTCTGCCAGGCCGGCTATCGGTGAAAGGGTTAATAAGAAATCTCTAATAAATATGTCTTCTTTCATGTCTTTAAAAAATGTACACATAAGCAAAGAATGCATTTTAAAATTGATGTTCTAATAAAAAATACTTTCATAAGTTTTGAAATTAAAATAAATTTACATACAAAAAAATATGTCTTTTTTTAAAATATAATATATACATATAAAGCAAAGCATGCATATGAAAATTAATATTCTTATTAAAAATTATAATAAAAATATCCCATAATTTTTCAAATTAAAAGTATAAAAATTCAACAACTTCAAAATGCTTTACAAGTGTTACAAGCCCAGAGCCTTGTTTTTGGTGCTTTTTTTACTCTTGCGTAAGAAAGATGCTGCCACTGCAGACATGAACTGCACATAACACTTGTTGGATAAGGTTATAAGAATAGTTTGTTTATGATTTGATGTTTAGCAAGAATAACACAATTATTTTTTTTATATGTTATTTTAGGTTTGTAATTTTATGCACTAAATAAGAACGCACTTGTAAGTGCAAAGGGTATACATGCCAAGTTTGGTTTAAATCGATTGAAAGATGTTGAATGACTGACAATTTCGCAAGTTTTGACAATGTTTGTTTCTGTGGTGTTGTCATCTCAAATGCATGCCGCCATTCGTAAATGTATATATACATTGTAGTTGCAAGATAAAAACAAAGAAACATGTCCATGTAATCATGAAACAACTTGAATAACCAGTGGATGAAGGTTTGTGGTCTTTGCGTCATGAACACAACAGTACTTTAATGCATCATAGACTAGATCGTTTTGTTTCTAGCTCAAGTTTTCATAATTGTATAGTTTCCACAGTTGCACAGTCGTCCTTTTCAAAGTGCTCCAAAACCTGTTTTAACTCTTCATGTGAGTCGAACATAGCGTTTATTTTAAGTTTTTTTTACAACGAAGTGTAGTTTTCCATTTTCGAACATCAATGATTTTAATAAAAGAAATTATTTAGTCTGAACAAAATCTGCTGAAAATAAGACTGGCAAAATAGCAAAACTATATAAATCGCTATTTTGCCTGCTCCAGGAAAATAGCACTAAGGAGGCTATTTTGCCAGAGCTGGTAAAATAGCACCTAAGAGGCTAAATTGCCAGAGCTGGCAAAACAGCCACTGCCTTATTTTTAACAGCTTGTGATGAGTTTGATAGCCATTTGGAATCTTCTGTCTTTCTTTTACAAGTCTTAAGTTAGAGACGAATTACTTAGTCTTTGATCATCATGACACTATTCATTATTCAAAATAATTCACAAAAGAAAACTTGTGTATGTTGTTAGAATGTCACCTTTTTTAAAAACAATAAAAAAAAACTTATTTCCTTTATTTCTTAGCAAATTATGTACACTAAATAAACATGATTAAAAACTTGTTTAACACAATACCTTTAAAAAGGGTGCAAATGGACCTAGGGTGCGAGCGATTGGGGTGCGAACGTGATTTTGGGCGATCGGACCCGGATTCTCCCTCATTTTGGGGGGTTGTTCCCAACGGAACTACCTGAAGAAGTCAAACTATGTCTTTGTTACGAAGCTTACCAGTGTAAGATTCACTTCAGATGAAAAATAAATACGAAATAACTTATGTAATGTAGGGGACAAAGTTCATTTGTCACAGTGACCCAGATTGATAGTAGAAAACTTGATCAATGGGTCAGAATTTGTACCCAAACAAACAGTTGTGTTTTCGGTTGTCGTAATTCTTGCAATTTACGACATCCACAAACTTTACGACTCACTTCCGGTAAACACGTTTTTGTGATGAAATCATATGTCATAATTTAGTTCCGAAATCTATGTTCCTGGGCTACATTTTTCACACTTCCATAAAACACTATATCTTGTATCACGAATATTTTTACTTATCAGGTAAACTCATCAAAATTTTTGTTTGTTTTGAAAATCACAAACATTGCAGTGTAGGATGCAAATGACAAATGAATGAGAGAAATCCATCTAGAGAAATCATAATCCATCTGTCCACTTGGATAATTTTCGTAAAAATACTGGAAGGAAGAAATCACATATTCATTTCTTGAGGTTGACACAGGGAATCATATATTGTTGCAAATCCCTATGGGAGGTACATAATTTGTCATTGCCATTGGCCTAATGCTATATTTAAAACTGCATTACTTTACAAGAGAATTTGCCACACTTGAACTTTGATGCCATACAAATTCATTTTTCTTTTGTGGTGTCAATCATTTTTTCTTGTAACATCAACATTTAACAGGAACAGCAACATACAATGTAAGTTAAAATGACAAATGGCTGATTGTTTATGTAATGTTCAACCAATGCATCTTCAAATTGTACCTGGTACCTCTTTAGATAATTGATATTTCAAAATTTGCAGAGGTACAAAGTCGCTGTTGCAGGGTTGGCAAAAACCCGGGTTTTATGAGTATTGCCCAGCCCAATGGGAAATACTGGGAAAACCCGGGTTTTACTGGGTTTTACCGGGTAATAATGGGCAATACTGGGTAATATGAAATACTGGCCTGAATTTTAAAGAGGATTCAGTGATTAATCACAAATACAATACATTAAAGTCGAATTCAATTTGGTTTTATTTAATAATATAACTAATATTAAGAATTAACAATTCTATGTAACATGTGTAAGGAAAATAACTTTTAAAAAGTTTTTGTTCATTGCTAAAAATGTTTACTAAGTTTTAGCATATGTTTATGTACATCACTTAATAATAAGTAATTATTCAGATTATGATACAGATTTGTTTATATAACAATAATCAGCCTTTTCATTTCTATAAGTGTTCATGGACTGTCCCCTTAGGGTGTTTATTTAGCAATATGATCATGATGATTGTTTAACAATTAAAATTTACAATTCACTTAAACACTGCAATAAAATGCATTTTTTCAAAGTTGGATTATTGAAACAAAGCTTGGAAATTAACAAGATATCCTGAAATGTGCAAAACTTGTATTCTACCTACATCATGTACATAGACAACATGATAGAGAAAATGAAGAAAATGAGAATAAATGCATTTTTTCAACTTGGATTTAATATTGAAACAAAGCTTGGAAATTAACAAGGTATTGTGAAATGTCAAAAACTTGTACTCTGCCTACATAGAATTAGTGGAGAAAAGGAAAAAATTGAATTTGCAATCTCCAGGAATGACTCTCAATGGTTATCTGTATAAAATGTATATATTTAGCTATAATACTATTAAACTACAACAAGTCTTTACTATTTTGTGTAAAAATAAGCTTGAAAAATCATATTACCCAGTATTACCCGTTTCTAGGAGTATTGCCCAGCCCGAGAAAACCCGGGTTTTCCCGCCTGGGTAATACTTTGCCAACCCTGCACTGTTGTCAATCTTCCATTCATGAATCGTATTTACTCGATCATTTCAAAAAAAGTTAAAACAAGTTACAATATTCAATAAAAAATGTCAGCCATGAAGATTTTGCTTTCATTTAAATGAAATGGTATTATTAAAATATAAAATACTAAAGAAAAGAAGCGTGGTGCCAAAATGTTTTTAAAAAAGTGCAGGACATCAAGAAAATGCGCCATGGTGCTTATGGCATCAAGAAAATGCAGGATGGGGCCATACCACGTCAAAACTTCCTGCAGGAAGCACCAGTTCAATCACTCAGCATTCCAGAAATTTCTATTTATCACTCCTCCCTAGCTTTAATTTTGTCAAGAATTTGACAGAAGAAGATGTTAAATGCAAGAGTTGTAGAATTGAGAATGGAAACAGGGCATGTGTCAAAGAGACAACAATCTGACCAAAGAGCAGAAAACAGCCCAGGGCCACTAATGAGTCTTCATCACAGCGAGAAAATCTGGCATCTAGAGGCGGGCTTCAGCTGGCCCCTAAAAATAATGTAGTTCAGAGAAATGGACGTCACACCAAATTTTGAAACATATGAAATTATCCTACTTGCATTAGGAGTCAAGGGTGTGTTTGTCAATTTCCTTTACTACATATATGTAAAACCCACATTTGGTGTCCATTTCAATTTAAAGACAGTATGGCTATAATCAAGTTTCGTGTAAAATACCATCTTTTTTAAGCCATGTCAGGGGTCACCACATTTCAGAATTATTGGGAGAAGTGACTTCTCCCGGGCAGGCAAATAGGGAGAAGTGAAGACCCAACAAGGAGACTTCTGGGAGAAGTGAAACCCCAACAGGGAGACTTCAGGGAAAATTGAAGGATCACGTTAATTGAAAAGGCTGTTTACCAGCACCAATTTGCCGTTGGAAATGCATATAAATGATTCTAGAACACTTCGCGAGTGTTCATATATGACAAAATCACAACAAGTAACATAGGAAAAGTTGTATTTTTCATTTCTGGAAATTGGATAAGTACTTGTAAATCGAAAAACAAATACGGTGCGAGACGTGGCAAAAATTGGTACTCAATATTTTACAAAAATATATGACTTTGGAAGTAAAATAGTGCTGTCCTTTAGTGAATTAATGTTATAGTATTCATCAAAATGTTGTTTAAAGGACCTTTAGCTAAAAAAAAGCACATGCAGCAGTCTGTAACACCAAATCCTGAACGAAAAACAGACTACGTTTTGTAGTTTATACATCCTTGTGATGGTTCCCAGCTGACTACTAAACTTTGTAGCTAGTTAAAATACAAGTGGATTCCAGTTAACATTATGCAACATTTGAAAAGAAGTAAGAAATTTTTAATGAAGCATCAAATTTTGATATCTACCAAAAATATAAGATAGGCACTGGCTACGGTTACATGGAAATGTAACAATAATATAAAAATTATTGTTACATTGGAGACTAATTGCCGGAATGCAGGGTTGGGTAAGGAACTGATTAATTACGAATGTAACAATGATATTTGGGTCTACGGTTACATTGCGTTATTGTTACATTAAAGACTGCAATGTATGATAGATTTATTAAACTTAAACCTTCTACAGTTATGTTGCTTAATTCTTCTATATGTACTAGATAATATTAATAATAATAATATTATTCTGCTAATAAGTATTGATTGTTTGGTGTTGTTAAAATTCATGACTACTACAGTTTAGTTCAATATCACTATTGATGAATACTTAATGAACTGTTCAATAGAGCATGTACTGTCACGACTGATAAGATCACAAAATATCTGGACTCTGAAAATGAAAACACTGTTTCCACCAATTTCAATCTGTCGGCAAATGTCAACATTAATTGCTTTCACAATTGACTTGTATTTAAACAACCTAACATGCTTCCAAAAAAAATATTGGACGAAAATGTAAACATCGCGAGAGTAACAAAATATTTTTCACCTGAAGCATGGCATTCAGACATTGAAAGTTTCTTAAACTTCATAAAGGGAAAATTAATGCAGAATGGAATTGTACGGTATGCACATTGCCGTATCACTGGTTTGTGATGGCTGCTTAGAATTGTTTCACCGAAAATGCGTTGGAACAAAACATGCTCCAAAAACAACATACTGGATTTGTAGAAACTGTCATTGTAAATAAAAAATCAAAATATTGTATGCAATATTGTAAATATCAAATAAAAGTTTTCAAGTTTTATTTTAATACATATTTATTACTATTCCAATCGTACATTGCAGTGCGTTAATGTAACAATAACGCAATGTAACCGTAGACCCAAATATTATTGTTACATTCGTAATTAATCGGTTCCTTACCCGACCCTGCATTCCGGCAATTAGTTTCCAATGTAACAATAATTTTTATACGACCGCAAAAAAATTTTGTGGTCGTATATTGGTATGACGTTGGCGTCGTCGTCGTCGTCCGAAGACACATTGGTTTTCGCACTCTAACTTTAGTTTAAGTGAATGGATCTTTTTGAAATTTTACCATAAGGTTAAATACCACAAAAGGAAGGTTGGGATTGATTTTGGGGGTTATGGTACCAACAGTTAAGGAATTAGGGGCCAAAAATAGGCATTTTCTAGTTTCCAGACAATAACTGTGGAACGGTGTATGGATCTCTCTGAAATTATACTACAAGTTTCCATACCACAAAGGGATGGTTAGGATTTGCTTTGGGGGGTTATTATATTATTGTTACATTTCCATGTAACTGTAGCCAGTGCCTATAAGATAATCAAAATTAAAAATGCATATTAATATGGATTAGGTAAATGATAAGAGTTTTGAAAAGATAAAAGGGCGCCATCTATAATTTTCAATAACAAAGATGGCGGACAATAAACAAACATCGCAAAATCAAGTTTTTTTCTTGTTTCCTGCTTATAGTACATCATGTCAAGTAATTTTAATGTTGGAGTATAATAGCGCAGACAAATCAGTTCTGAATTTCAGGGATAACATGTTTTGTACATGTATTTCGTCAACCATCGGGTCGTTTACGTTTGGATCGAGAATTTTCCAAAAATCATGAAGCGACATTGGGAAATTTTACTGAAAATCAAGGATGACATAAACTACTCCCTGGAGCTTCGAATTCTCTAGAGCGAAGTGGGGAGTCATAGGGTGACATAGTTGCTCACTTCGCCTGGTGTGGTGACCCCTGCATGTTCTAGGTCTGTATTTTTCACAGTTATTTTTGGTTGTTGCGATCTGTTGTACTTGCCAATAATTTTATTATGCCCCCGCTGTTGCGGAGGGGGCATTAAGTTTTACCCTTGTCCGTTTGTACGTACGTCCCAAAATTGGTTTCAGTTCTCTAACTTAAGTTTTCCTCAACCAAATGTTATCAAACTTATGCTTATTACCACAAAGCACAGATCAAGTTTGAATTTTGGTGCCGTCACTTTTACCGTTTCAGAGTAATGCCCCTTTACAAATGGAAAAATTGCTGAATTTTTTGTTTTCATTCTCTAACTTTAGTTTGCCTCAACCAAATGTTATGAAACTTATAGACAATGCTTATTACCACATAACACAAATCAAGTTTGAATTTTGGTGGCGTCACTTTAACCGTTCTAGAGTTATGCCTCTCTACAAATGGAAAAAAATGCTGAATTTTTTGTTTCCGTTCTCTAACTTTAGTTTGCCTCAACCAAATGTTATGAAACTTATAGACAATGCTTATTACCACAAAACACAAATCAAGTTTGAATTTTGGTGGCCTCACTTTTACCGTTCTAGAGTTATGCCCCTTTACAAATGGAAAAATTGCTGAAATATTCGTTTCTGTTTTCTAACTTAAGTTTGCCTCAACCAAATGTTATGAAACTTATAAACAATGCTTATTACCACAAAACTCAGATCAAGTACAAATTTGGGTAGTGTCACTTTTACAGTTCTTGAGTTGTGTCCCTTTATAATGTTTTATGCAAGCAGGGGCATCATCTTGTGTCCCATGGACACACTCCCCATTTATTTATCTAGGACTATATATCTTAATAAAATTAAGCGGATCCATGATATATTTATGATATTCATTCATTTATTTTCAGTTTGATATAACTAGATACTTGTGCTTTGTTGAGACATAAGTAATATTTAAACAAAATGGCTGAAAATGGAACTGCTTCCAGTCCTGAAGAGAAACTTGAACTGATCAAAAGAAATTTACAGGTATATTTTACTAGTCTCCAACATGATATACATAATTACCCACAAAATCTAAAATGAGGCTTGACAATGTGCTTGCAATAAACAGATATAGACGGGAAAGTTGAAAAGCACGAATACCTGGAGAAGTTTCATTTTAGAAAGAGATATGCAGAAAAACACAGACCTGCCAACTATCCTGATTTTGGTGGTATCATCCCGATTTTCAACCCAAATCCCGATGTCGGGATCGTAAAACAAGTCAAAATCTAGCCAAAAAAATTATTGCTTACCGATTTTGAAGTTTTTCTGATCCAATTTCTATAAATCTATAATTTTACCTGGCGACATATGCATGACAATTTTACGACCCTGCGCTAATCAACAGTCACAACAGGTGTCATAATTTGTTGTTACAGGTAATCTGCTTATCTGATCTGCTGATGGGTCATAACAATCCTCAAAATTCATTAATTTGTAAACAGAATCGGTCAGTCGGCATTTCAATTTTAATCAATTTATCATACAATCACAATTTGCAATGTTTACCATAATTTCATGACAAAATCGTAATTAACTGAAAGACAAAACTGTAATGAACTCATTAGAAAACCGCATTTATCTTGAAATCCGTTAAATTTTTTGAAATCAGACGTGTTTCTGTCCAGTTCTGATTGAAAATAGACGCCATTTTGTATTCACTTCTACTGTGTATAAGCCTCCACCAGTAAGAGCACCTCTGAACACAAAGAAAGATATGATACTCAAATTTTATCCATTTTATCATTAATACTGATAGACTAACTCAAAATCTGTCTTCATCCTTATAAATTTAGGACATTTAGGTTCAGGTCTTTTGAGTCATGATGCAAAGATAAGAAGGTCTTTGGAGAGGGAAAAGGGGGGGGGGGGGGGGTCTTCACTTTGTATCATTTATTTTTTTTACACCATTTTTTTCTATTCTTAAGTTATTTTGCCAATTAATAATTACAAGATTCATGCAAATAAAAGAAATCAAGGCTTATTAGCTCATCATCAGTAAACCTAAAGAAAATAGAAGAAATATGAGACTATTTCAAAAGTAAAAAACAGTGCACTCAGGAACGCCGCAAAAATTGTAACCCTTAAAAATCTGGTCGTGCACTAAATCCCCCATGGAGATTTTCAAAAGTTGGCAGATCTGAAAACAATCTAGGCCTTTTTAAACAATATTAATGAAACTGACAATGAAGTGCCAGATAATTAACTTTTAATATTTAGAAATGAAAGAAATATGAAAGAATTTGAGGAATAAACAGGTTTGGAACAGCCCACCAATTGGGGAATTATTCCCCAAAACAGTGAACCATCCTTCAGTTGAGTAATAGTTTACTAATGCTAAAAACGTGGATTTCCCAACTGAGTCTTTTCATTTAAAATGGTTATCTAGGGATTGAATAGGTGTTTTTTTTTATGATATTCAGATTTTCATTTATATTTATTTTATCTTAGGCCATGAAAAAATATTTTGAAACCATCTGGAAGGAAGTACAACAAATTCCCCCTCTAAACAATTTTCCACAAACACTGCCATGACTGAGCTACCACTTAGTCAGATTTAAGAGATGAGACCTATGAAGTAGAATGAACTTGTTAATCAAAAAATATCTAAAGTTGACTGAAGTCAACTTTTCTAATAAGTTCATATCAAATTGTTCAGATAAATATCCTTTGAAAACTTTTTCTTCAACAGGAAGTTCTGGGTGAGGACAGGATCAATCCAATTTTAAAGGAAAGAGACTTGAAAATCTATTGGGGAACAGCTACAACAGGCAGACCACATGTTGCCTATTTTGTTGCTATGTCAAAAGTAGCTGATTTCTTACATGCAGGGTGTGAGGTAAGTTACTTGGGAACAGCCACATGTTGCCTATTTTGTTGCCAGGTCTTTTCTTTGCAAATGTGAGATAAATACATAAAATATGTTACTATAAAACTATTTCACAACATGCTACTATTTTTCATTTTATTGTAGTGTCAAAAATAAAAGAAATTGAATAGACGAGTGTGAGGCCAGTTACATGCATAGAGAAACAGCTTAAACAGGCAAACCATGTTTCCTATTTTTCTGCCATGGAAAAAAAGGCAGATATTTTTCCTAATATATGATTGCTATTGTGAAACAGTTAAGACAGGAAAACTGCATGTAAATGTACCATATCTTTTCTGTGAGTGAAATATTACACACATTACTGCGGAACAACTACAACATACACCCACTGTTGTGTTATTTATGGTCATGCAATAAATGCAAATTCGGAAATCATTGCGCACATTTACATTATTATTGCGATTTTTCAAATTATGGACAAAAATGCAAGATTAATTTATTGCAGTTTCAAGAAAATCTGCATGCAAATATATATATCAGACATTAGAATGTGAGTTCTTTGTTTTATGATGCATACCAAGTTGCATTATTCACATTCATAAAACCTGGCAATAATTTCTGAATTTACAGTATATAGATGAGAAAAATTATACAGACATTATTGATTGTTTTCTGTTTCCTAGGTAACCATTTTGTTTGCTGATCTCCATGCCTACTTAGATAACATGAAAGCACCCTGGTCATTGCTGCAGTTGAGAGAAAAATATTATGAAGCCATTATCAAGGCAATGTTAAAATCTATAAATGTGCCACTAGAAAAGCTAAAGTTTGTCAAGGGAACAGATTTTCAGCTGAGCAAGTGAGTAATGTAAATAGGAAATACATTACACAGAGAAATTTGATAAAAAATCTGTCTTTCTGTGTATGAAGTTAATTGCTGTGATATCTGGTTATTAGGACTGATAACACTTAATTTTGACCCTCAAGTTATAGATTATCAATCGTTTTTATACGACCGCTAAAAAATTTTGTGGTCGTATATTGGTATGACGTTGGCGTTGTCGTCGTCGTCCGAAGACACATTGGTTTTCGCACTCTAACTTAAGTTTAAGTGAATGGATCTCAATGAAATTTTACCATAAGGTTCAATACAACAAAAGGAAGGTTGGAATTGATTTTGGGGGTTATGGTATCAACAGTTAAGGAATTAGGGGCCAAAAATAAGCATTTTTGTAACTTCCAGACAAAACTTGTGTGTTAGTGTATGTATCTCTCTGACATAGTACCACAAGGTTCCATATCACAAAGGGAATGCTGGGATTGATTTTGGGGGTAAATTCCCTCAAAATTTTAGGAATTAGGGGCCAAAAAGGGTCAAAAACAAGCATTTTTCTAGTTTCAGGACAATAACTTGTGTGTAAGTGTATGGGTCTTTATGAAATTGTACTACAAAGTTCCATATCACAAAGGGAAAGCTGGGTTTGAGTTTGGGGGTAATTGCCCTAAATGTTTAGGAATTTGGGGCCAAAAAGGGGCCTAAAAACAAGCATTTTTCTAGTTTCCAGACAATAACTTGTGTTCAAGTGTATGGATCTCTCTGAAATTGTACTGCAAGGTACCATACCACAAAGGGAAGGCTGGGATTAAGTTTCGGGTGATGAATCATAAGGGGGTTCAAAAAATTTGGGGGAGGGATTTTTTTTTCCTTTTTTTTTCTTTAAAATTCTCCATTTTAAATTGGTTATTTCTGATTTATATATATATATAAAAGCAAATAATAATGATATGGTTTGAATAGGTAAATTAAAAATTTTAAAGTTCTTAGACCACATTCATTCTGTGTCAGAAACCTATGCTGTGTCAAATATTTAATCACAATCCAAATTCAGTGCTGTATCAAGCTTGAATGTTGTGTCCATACTTGCCCCAACTGTTCTGGGTTCGACCACTGCAGTCGTATCAAGCTGCGCCCAGCGGAGCATTTTATTTCAAATGAAAGGGTGTTTCTCAGCTACAATCTCATTGAAGGGTGACAGCCTGAGATGAGATGTGGCCCAGAAACATCCTTGAGTTTGAAAGACCATTGATTATCTGTTTATTGCTATTTTGCCTATGACGTAGTTGATGTTTACATTGTCACATGGGCCTTTAGTTTCTGACGATAATTTTTTATCTCCAGTGAGAAGCGTTATATGAAAAATTATCACAAAATAGATCAAAGAAAAAATATGCAAAATAGCGTTAATTTAATTTATCCACCATTCATTTTCCTATATCACCCTGCTCAGTTGCTCTGTATTTCTCATATCACCACTTTGAGACCTGAGTAGAAGTTATAAGCGACGTCAAAATGTGTGAGAAGACGAGCTTACATGAGTCAAGCTTAAACAGTCAGGGGACTTACTTAAATGAGTGATTTTCTAAATCACTGATTCAAGTAACAATATGTCCATAAAGGTTGGAAGTAAGAGTTGTCTTTCTTTAAGAATCACCTTTTTAAGTAGAACAAATTAATCACTAGACTAAGTGATTTAATTTTATTGTAGCTTTAACTATAGAATACTAATGATCCAGGGACTAATTATGTTGCTAAAATTATCAGAACCAACATCTGTGTTGATAGGATGACCGGGTCATGTCAGGTGATGACCTTGTACTAAATCTAGGATAATGACATAAAAATCACTTGTTTAAGTATCATACCTCAATTTCCTTCCAAAAAATCACTTCTTTAAGTATCATTATTTTAATAACCCCCACTAATTTCAACACCCCTGAACAGTGAAATTTTGATCGCGAACAGTAGAATTTTATTACATAATCTATAAGATGAAACCTTGAACTTTACAGGAAAAATACTCCCACTGCTGGGAAAAATCTGTTAAGAAAGTTTCAGTTCATTATGTAAAGCCATTTTTATAGCATTTTTTCAACTAAAATAGAATTTGCAGCTAAATGATTGCATCAAAGGCATAAACCTTGCTGCTTAAAAGAAGCAAAAAATTCATTTTTTTTTCAATTTTACTAATGAAAAGATATTATCTAAACCTATGTGTTTAAAATTTTGGTAAAACTACAAAATCACAATTTGTGACAAAACTTCGAATTTGCTACTTAAATAAGTGATTTAAAAATCACTTATTTCAATAAGTTCCCTGACTGTTAAAGCTGGGGGGAAAGACCAGAAATAGCACAATAATTAGATTATCAGGTTTGCTGCATATAGATATCATAAAATATCAGGCGCTTGACACAATGGGAAGCCTTTTTAGCTCACCGGGGCCCGAAGGGCCCCATGTGAGCTTATGCCATCACTTGGCGTCCGTCGTCGTCGTAAACTATTTCAAAAATCTTCTCCTCTGAAACTACTGGGCCAAATACCTTCAAACTTTAACTAAATGTTCCTTAGGGTATCTAGTTTATAAATTGTATCCGAAGTTTTGATCCATTGCCAAACATGGCCACCATGGCTAAAAATAGAACATAGGGGTCAAATGCAGTTTTTGGCTTATATCTCAAAAAACTAAATAAATAAAGCTTTTAGAGCAAATCTGACATGGGGTAAAATTGTTCAATTGGTCAAGATCTATCAGCTCTGAAGTTTTCAGACTAATCGAACAACCCATTGTTGGGTTGCTGCCACCGAATTGGTAGTTTTAACAAAATTTTGCAGTTTTTATTTTGCGGTCGTTTATTGGTATGACGTTGGCGTCATCGTCGTCGTCTGGCGTTGTCCGCCGTCGTCCGAAGACACATTGGTTTTCGCACTCTAACTTGAGTTTAAGTGAATGGATCTCTATGAAATTTTACCATAAGGTTCAATACCACAAAAGGAAGGTTGGGATTGATTTTGGGGGTTATGGTACTAACAGTTAAGGAATTAGGGGCCAAAAATAAGCTTTTTTGTAACTTCCAGACATAACTTGTGTGTTAGTGTATGGATCTCTCTGACATTGTACCAAAAGGTTCCATATCACAAAGGGAATGATGGGATTGATTTTGGGGGTAATTGCCTCAAAATATTAGGAATTAGGGGCCAAAAAAGGGGCAAAAAACAAGCATTTTTCTAGTTTCATGACAATAACTGGTGTGTAAGTGTATGGATCTTTCTGAAATTGTACTACAAGGTTCCATATCACAAAGGGAAAACTGGAATTGAGTTTGGGGGTAATTGATCTAAACATTTAGGAATTGGGGGCCAAAAAGGGGCCAAAAACACATTTTTATACGCCCGTTTACGGGTCGTATTATGGTATACCGTTGTCCGTCCGTCCGTCTGTCCGTCCGTAGTCAACATGTCGGACATTAACTCAAAAACGATTTAACAAATTTGCATAGAACTTTGGTGAATTGTTTATATCTATTGATGTGAGCTCCCTTTCGTTTTTTATGAATTTTAGATTTTACGTTTCAGAGTTATGGGGTTTTATTCATTAAAAAAAGGGGGATTTTCCAGTTTTCAGACAATAACTCAAGAATGCTTTCACCAACTTGCAAGAAATTGTAGTGAATTGTTTATATCTATTGACATGAGCTCCCTGTCGATTTTTATAAATTTTAGATTTTACGTTTCCGAGTTATGGGGTTTTATTCATTAAAAAAAGGGGAATTTTCCAGTTTTCAGACAATAACTCAAGAATGCTTTCACCAACTTGCAAGAAATTGTGGTGAATTGTTTATATCTATTGACATGAGCTCCCTTTCGATTTTTATATATTTTAGATTTGACGTTTACGAGTTACAGGGTTTTATTCATAAAAAAAGGGGGATTTTCCAGTTTTCTGACAAAAAATCAAAAATGCTTTCAGCAGTTTTTTGAAACTTTGGTGAATTGTTTATAATATCTATTGATGTAAGCTCCGTTTAGAATTTTAAAAATTTTTCATTTATCATTTCTGAGTTATGGGGTTTTATTCATTAAAAGAAGGGGGGGGGGAGATTTTCCAGTTTTCGGACAATAACTCAAAAATGCTGTCAACAATTCTCATGAAACTTTGGTGAATTGTTTATATCTACTGATGTAAGCTCCTTTTACATTTTCATAAATTTCTAATATGACATTGAGAATTAATTGAACTTTATTTGTTTATAGTCTGACAACAGATTTACTTAGTATTGCACAACGGCACAGTGTATTGCACAACAGCAAGAAATCTTTAATTGAATATAAATTCAATTCATATAACCAATTTCAAGTTCTTTGACTACATTTATTCAGAAACCTATAATATGTCAAATATTTAATTACAATCCAAATTCAGACCTGTATCAAGCTTGAATATTGTGTCCATTTTTGCCCCAACTGTTCAGGGTTGGACCTCTGCGGGCGTATCCAGCTGCGCTCAGCGAAGCAGTTTATTCTAGTTTCCAGACAATAACTTGTGTTCAAGTGTATGGATCTCTCTGAAATTGTACTGCAAGGTACCATACCACAAAGGGAAGGCTGGGATTGAGTTTGGGGGTGATGAATCATAAGGGGGTTCAAAAAATTGGGGTGGGGGATTTTTTTTTTTTTTCCTTTTTTTTCTTTTTTTCCTTTTTTTTTTCTTTTAAAATTTTCCATTTTAAGTTGGTTATTTCTGATTTATATTTAAAAACAAATAATAATGATATGGTAGGAGATACACACCAAACAGGATGTGTAAATTATTATATAATAAGTATTGTGCAATAGCAAGAAATTTTCAATTGCACAGTATTGCACAATAGCAAGAAATCTTCAATTGCACAGTATTGCGCAATAGCAAGAAATCTTCAATTGCACAATATTGCGCAATAGCAAGAAATTGTCAATTGTGCATTATTGCGCAATAGCAAGAAATATTCAATTGCACAGTATTGTGCAAAAGAAGATACTTCGTATAAATTGCTTATTTCTTGACCAATTTCAATGGGGTTTTATTCTTGAATTCTTGGGGTTCTTTAATATGCTGAATCTAACAGTGTATTAAGTTTTTGGATTTTGTGCCCCGTTTTTAAATTGGTCCACATTGAGGTCCAAAGGGTCCAAAATAAAACTTTGTTTGATTTCATCAAAAATTGAATTATTGGGGTTCTTTGATATGCCGAATCTAACCGTGTATTTAGATTCTTAATTTTTGGTTATTTTTTCAAATTGGTCTACATTAAGGTCCAAAGGGTCCAAAATTAAACTAAGTTTGATTTTAACAAAAATTGAATTCTTAGGGTTCTTTGATATGCTGAATCTAAACATGTATTTAGATTTTTGATTATGGGCCCAGTTTTCAAGTTGGTCCAAATCGGGGTCCAAAATTAAACTTTGTTTGATTTCAACAAAAATTGAATATATGGGGTTCTTTGATATGCTGAATCTAATCATGTATTTAGATTTTTGATTTTTGGGCCCGTTATCAACTTTGTCCACATTGAGGTCAAAAGGGTCCAAAATTAAACTTTATTTGATTTCATCAAAAATTGAATTCTTGGGGTTCTTTGATAAGCTGAATCTAACCATGTATTTAGATTTTGGATATTGGACCATAATAGGTGAATGTCCAATTTAAAATTTTTAAGTTCTTAGACCACATTCATTCTGTGTCAGAAACCTATGCTGTGTCAAATATTTTATCACAATCCAAATGCAAAGCTGTATCAAGCTTGAATGTTGTGTCCATACTTGCCCCAACTGTTTGGGGTTTGACCTCTGCGGTCGTATCAAGCTGCGCCCTGCGGAGCATTTTATTTGTTATTATTTTGAATATTGTTATAGATATATATAAACTGTAAGCAGCAATAATGTTCAGCAAAGTAAGATCTACAAAAAAGTTAATATGACCAAAATTGTCAATTGACCCCTTAAGGAGTTATTGCCCTTTAAAGACAATTTTACACAATTTGTTCATCAAGTTTGCTAACATTCAAAAATCTTCTCCTCTGAAATACAGGTGAGCGATTCAGGCTCTTGAGAGCCTCTTGTTTTGTTAGCTGATATTTTGTGATATCATTGTGTAGGAAACCTGATAATGTAAAAAGAAAAAAGGGAGAAAAGATTCCTATTGACTAAACAAAAATCTTAAATTAAAATAAATGACATGAGAATGATGAAAAGCAGAAAACAAACCATAAAACATCGCACAGAAAACTAGAGATAATGCAAAACCAACCTTACCAAAAAGTTGGGATGAATGCATCTGCTCTTGAAAGTGAAGCAGTTCATAAAATCACAAATGCACTCCAATCCTGATGCTCATTGCAAGAAAATGTTCGGTGATCAGTTTAATTTGGTAATGTCTCATGGTTTACTTTCAGTGTTTTATTGAAAATTGAAAGATGTTGGTAAATTTTCAAATAGTTTTCTGACAGGTAAATAATTAGTGCTTGTCAAAACCAACAAGATGATGGACATCTGTGTTTGTTTGTGTACACAACATCTCTCTTATTCTTTAAAGTATTTTATTGTTTATTTCATGCGATCAATATTTTGCCTTCACAAATATTTGTTAAAACAAAGCAATTTTGACATTGTTAGAAAAAACAAACGTAATCCTTCTCTTGAATTTAAATTATTGGTGAATATATTCATAATATTTGGAAGACCTTACAGTATAAAAATAAGGAGATGAGGTATGATCGACAATGAGACAACTATCCACCAAAGTTCAAATGAAGTAGATGAAGCAATTATAGGTAACCGTACGGCATTCAACAATGAGAAACACCCATACTGTATAGTTGGCTATTAAGAAAACTAACGGCCTAATTTATAATTCATACTTTTTAATATCAATCATTTGAAAAAAGAATAATTATAATTGAGCGATTAACTCTCATTGACATGTATACACCTACATCTACTTTTGATCATTTATTGTTTAGTATATTAGTTCATTTTTAGGACACACAGACAGAATACACATGGTGATTCAGTTAAAATGTCTCTTTCTTGTGTTAAATTAATAACTGTAAAATATGGTCACTGCCAGTTTTTTTCTGAGTGGTGACTCTCTCATTTATGAACTTTCATATAGTACCTTTTGGAATATACAGAGAGACATTCCATAGCTTGCATGACCCACAATCACCATCTTTTGCTGTAAATAATCACCACTAAGAGCCATTTTAACTGAAAGACCTCAATTTTATACGACCGCAAAAATTAAAAATTTGTTGGTCGTATATTGGTATGACGTTGGCATCGTCGTCGTCGTCTGGCGTCGTCCGAAGACACATTGGTTTTCGCACTCTAACTTTAGTTTAAGTGAATGGATCTCCGTGAAATTTTACCATAAGGTTCAATACCACAAAAGGAAGGTTGGGATTGGTTTTGGGGGTTATGGTACCAACAGTTAAGGAATTAGGGGCCAAAAATAAGCTTTTTTGTAACTTCCAGACATAACTTGTGTGTTAGTGTATGGATCTCTCTGACATTGTACCACAAGGTTCCATATCACAAAGGGAATGCTGGGATTGATTTTGGGGGTAATTGCCTCAAAATTTTAGAAATTAGGGGCCAAAAAAGGGGCAAAAAACAAGCATTTTTCTAGTTTCATGATAATAACTTGTGTGTAAGTGTATGGATCTTTCTGAAATTGAACTACAAGGTTCCATATCACAAAGGGAAAGCTGGAATTGAGTTTGGGGGTAATTGCCCAAAACGTTTAGGAATAAGGGGCCAAAAAGGGGCCAAAAATAGCATTTTTCTAGTTTCCAGACAATTACTTGTGTTCAAGTGTATGGATCTCTCTGAAATTGTACTGCAAGGTACCATACCAAAAAGGGAAGGCTGGGATTGATATTAGGGGTAATTGCCTCAAAATTTTAGGAATTAGGGGCCAAAAAGGGGAAAAAATCAAGCATTTCTCTAGTTTCAGGACAATAACTTGTGTGTAAGTGTATGGATCTCTCTGAAATTGTACTGCAAGGTTCCATACCACAAAGGGAAGGCTGGGATTGAGTTTGGGGGTGATGAATCATAAGGGGTTTCAAAAAATTTGGGGGGGGGGGGGGGGGGTTTCATTTTTTTTCTTTTTTTCATTTTTTTTTCTTTTAAAATTTTCCATTTTAAGTTGGTTATTTCTGAGTTATATTTAAAAGCAAATAATAATGATATGGTAGGAGATACACACCAAACAGGATGTGTAAATTATTATATAATAAGTATTGTGCAATAGCAAGAAATTTTCAATTGCACAGTATTGCACAATAGCAAGAAATCTTCCATTGCACAGTATTGCGCAATAGCAAGAAATCTTCAATTGCACAGTATTGCGCAATAGCAAGAAATATCCAATAGCACAATATTGCGCAATAGCAAGAAATTGTCAATTGTACAGTATTGCGCAATAGCAAGAAATATTCAATTGCACAGTATTGTGCAAAAGAAGATACTTCGTATAAATTGCTTATTTCTTGACCAATTTCAATGGGGTTTTATTCTTGAATTCTTGGGGTTCTTTAATGTGCTGAATCTAACCGTGTATGAAGTTTTTGGATTTTGGGCCCTGTTTTTTAATTGGTCCACATTGAGGTCCAAAGGGTCCAAAATTAAACTTTGTTTGATTTCATCAAAAATTGAATTATTGGGGTTCTTTGATATGCCGAATCTAACCATGTATTTAGATTCTTAATTTTTGGTTCCGTTTTCAAATTGGTCTACATTAAGGTCCAAAGGGTCCAAAATTAAACTAAGTTTGATTTTAACAAAAATTGAATTCTTAGGGTTCTTTGATATGCTGAATCTAAACATGTATTTAGATTTTTGATTATGGGCCCAGTTTTCAAGTTGGTCCAAATCGGGGTCCAAAATTAAACTTTGTTTGATTTCAACAAAAATTGAATATATGGGGTTCTTTGATATGCTGAATCTAACCATGTATTTAGATTTTTGATTTTTGGGCCCCGTTATCAACTTTGTCCACATTGAGGTCAAAAGGGTCCTAAATTAAACTTTGTTTGATTTTATCAAAAATTGAATTCTTGGGGTTCTTTGATATGCTGAATCTAACCATGTATTTAGATTTTGGATATTGGACCATAATAGGTGAATGTCCAATTTAAAATTTTTAAGTTCTTAGACCACATTCATTCTGTGTCAGTAACCTATGCTGTGTCAAATATTTTATCACAATCCAAATTCAGAGCTGTATCAAGCTTGAATGTTGTGTCCATACTTGCCCCAACTGTTCAGGGTTCGACCTCTGCGGTCGTATCAAGCTGCGCCCTGTGGAGCATTTTATTTGTACATGCTGAAGTTGGAGCAATACAATTAAAATTACTGTCCCCCAAGAACACGTTGCGGGGGACATAGAAATACCGGGCATCCGTCCGTCCGTCTGGTCTTGTTGTTATTTAAAAAGCCGATATATTTTTACGACTTGTACATGTTTTAAGAGCTATGAAGTGACACCAGTGGTAAAATTCTAAATTCTAAATTCACGTTTCCTTGTTTAACATTACTTTGTTTATTGCTACAGGGAATATACATTAGATGTATACAGACTGTCGTCATTGGTTACAGAACATGATGCAAGGAAGGCTGGAGCTGAAGTTGTCAAACAGGTCCAACATCCTTTGTTAAGTGGTTTGCTATATCCAGGACTACAGGTAAGTCTGTGTTTCCATAGTAACATGAGTGTAGCTCAAGTTGTCAAATAGGTCTTTCGGCCAGATATTTTTTTATCAAGTATTTGTTCTTTCTTAGGCATTATCAAATATTAAAGTATGAAATAAAAAACCTGTTTGAATCAGAATATTAAATGTAAAAGGCATATATACCTTACAATAACTACTTGCAGTCTGATTAGGCATATATACCTTACAATAACTACTTGCAGTCTGATTAGGCATATATACCTTACAATAACTACTTGCAGTCTGATTAAAATCATACCTCTCACTTGCTATCCTTTATTTTTTTTGTCACTCAACATATCAGACAACGGGAGCGATGAGAGGTTTGATTTTAATCAGACTGATTCAATTGGGGTTAGTGTTCAAGGATGTGAGATTAGTTTAAGAATTTTATCAGATTTTGTGAGTTGTAAAGTTAGGAACCTATCAGTTACAATGAAAATAAAACTTGTGATAAGTTATTGATGATGTATATATTATATATTTTGTGATGGATTCTTAATGAGATAAGTAATTGTAAGTACCAGTGTATTAAAAGGGTATATGATTCTGCAGGGTCCTCACTAAGGGGAGTCGATGAGTCCTGGGCTCAGGAAAATCAGTCTGGAATCATCATTTTCACAACTGGTGAGTCCAAAGATGCATCAAGATTGTAATATGTTGCATCAACTAATCATTTATAGAAAAAAGTTTTAAAATAATCAAAATTTGATTTCATTTTCTTGGTCTATTTCGTCATTGAGACTGAAATAATAAATTATATAGCATTAAAATTTCCTCTTCTTACTGTTAGACTCTCCATGGCTAAAAACTATGAGAGCCTGGACCTTCAAAAATCCTTAGTGAGAACCCTGATTCAGTATTTCTGCAAAGGTAAGGTAATGAGTAATTAATCCATTGTTATTCCAGGGCTTGTATTTCCTATCATGATTTCCTTGTTAAAGGGTTGCAGCTCACAAGGAAGCTATTAAACCAAGAGTTCCAAGTGGTGAAGTTAAAATCATCCCATAGTAAATTTTAAGAACACCATATGAGTTGGTTGACTGTTATGGAATATCTGTTTCACAGTAGACGATTGGTATGTTCCAATTGTGGTAACTACAGTCCCTTCCCCTTTTCTCCGAATGTGATGTACTGAATTGGTCCTATCACAGAGTTTGTACTTGCATGAGCAACATGACGGGTGCCACATGTGGAGCGGGATCTGCTTACCCTTCCGGAGCACCTGAGATCCCCCCTGGTTTTATGTGGGGTTTGTGTTGCTCAATCTTTGGTCTCATGTGTTGTATTTTGTGTACTGTTGTTTGTTGGTCTTTTTTTTAGCCATAGGGTTGTCTGTTTGTTTTCGACTTATGATTTTTAATGTCCCTTTGGTTTATTTTTTCCTCTCTATTAAAATATTGTACAGAATATACATTTGGTATTTTTGAAACTGGATGTTGAGCCAACAATATTTAATCTATCTTTTGAAATCTTTTGTTATCTTACAGGCTTTAGATGAAGAATATTTAATCTATCTTTTGAAATCTTTTGTTACCTTACAGGCTTTAGATGAAGAATATTTGAAAGTGGATGCACAGTTTGGTGGTGTGGATCAGAGAAAGATATTCACCTATGCTGAAAAGGTAGGCAAAATAGATACAGGTATATTAGGGCTATTCCAATAAAATGTATGTGGGAGGGTAGGACGGTTCTTTCAAAATATCCCTACAACCAAGAACCATTTTTTAGATAATTTTGCATAATGGTAATAGACGCATACTGAAAAAAGACCCATGACCCACATTCAATAATTAAACTTCCCTTCCTACACTCCCACATACATTTTAATAGAATAGCCCTTATGATAATTTTACTATGATTAATTAGAAATTGTAACAGAGTAAGATATTGATTTTTTTAAAGGCATTTAAAAGAAAAAGTTTGCAGGCAGAAATTGTATGGTTGAGCTTAATATGCTATCCATTTGCAAAGATAAAATTGTGTTTAAATACCTATGGTCATTTATTTAATTTTAAGAAAAGCTAAAAAAAATGTGTTTATTTAAAGAATATCGGGTATTGAACCAAAATTATAAAGGTGAAACTCAGGGCTGTTCAAGAATTAAATGCTTGGGGCGTGGGAGGCGCTGTTTTAAGACCCGAACTGCACGCATAATATAAAATGTTCATTTTACTTAAAATTCTTACAAATTTCTAAGGAAAATGCAACCACCCACAATGAATTATTTTGAGTGCCTCCCACATCCCATCATCAATTTTGGAACATCCCTCAGTTAAATATGAGGGTAATTAAAGTCACCTAAACCTTCTGAACATGAGAGATATTTACTTCAGGACTTTAAAATAGACCAGTTTAAATAAAACTCAAATTGGAACTGACCAGTCACAAGAAAAATATTACACACATATTTAAGTTTTTAGTGGAATCAGTTGATGAGCATGTTTACCAAGATATTCTTAATTCAAATCTCATAATTCTGACCTACAAAATGAATTTCTATTTTTAGTACCTGCCACATTTAGGATATACCAAAAGAATACATTTAATGAACCCTATGGGTAAGTTTACATTTGTTCTTACAACTTTTATATAGCTATATAGCAGATGTACATTGGGTTCATTTATATTCATGGGATAACAATTTTTCATTGGGAGGAGGAAAAGAGAACTTAAAAACTTAATTAGATACAAATTTGTATTACTTTATTCAAAGCATGTAATGAAACTACAAAACTAGGAATCCTAAAAAAAAAAATTGTTTTCTCCCAACCATGAAAAGTAGTAACAACAACAAAAAAATGATGAATTTACAGTATGATATAGATTCTACCACTGCATCAAGTGTGATATGATAATTCTCCTTTCTAGACAGTTAAATTATCAAATTAAACCAATCTTTTTAAATATAAGGAATTTCAACATTGTACATGTGAATTTTATGTACCAAAGATAGAATTAACAAAACTGTTGTTTTTGCAGTTCCTGGTTTGACTGGTAGTAAAATGAGTTCATCAGAAGAAGATTCTAAAATAGATTTACTTGACACTGCAGCCCAGGTGAAAAAGAAATTAAAGATGGCCTTCTGTGAACCTGGAAATATAACAGATAATGGCCTGTTGTCCTTCTGTAAACATGTCCTCTATCCAATCACATGTAAAGAAGGTAAGTTTGGATAATGAATATTCATAATATCATGTGATATTTATAAGACGGCCTACTGAAATCAATTTATGCAACAGACTACACATTTTTATAGGACATCAAAAATTTCCTGCTGTATAATGGTATGGGGATGTCGTTGTCTGAAAACATTTGATTTCCAGACAATAACTTGAGTAAAAGTGTATGGATCTTTATGAAATGTACAACAAGTACCATTTCAGAATTTTTTCTGGTATTGATTTGTATGAAATTGTACCACTAAAGAAAGATTTGGATTGAATTTGGGGGTTACAGGTGTATCTGCTCAGGAATAAGGGCCAATAAGGGGTAAAAAACTTTGTTTGAATTGCTACATTTTCAGTTCAAAGGGAAATAACTCAAATCACAATAAAATGATAATCCACTCTTAAACACATTAGTGTCACCTTTGGATATCACTTTTCAAAACAGTTCTATTCACAAATTATTCACAAATCTAATTAAAATAGCATCCCATCCACTTAGAATTACAATCCCATAAACCACAATTACCAGTTCACACCCAATTTCATGCCACAATTTTATCCAATATTATTATTCTATTTTTCCAAAAAATGAAAAAAAAAATTTCAGTTCATTATAAATACGATTCTATTATCCTTTTATAATTAGCTATAATTTTATTCTGCATTTCATTTCCACTACATCATTCATTCCTTAAATTTCTAAAATATAAATATCTAATTTCTAAATTCTAACAGTTTAACAATGTCAAGAAAAGTTACATTCCTCCCCTTTCCCATAACCTTAAGTCACAAGTGAAGTTCAGCATGAGTGCAATTAAGGAACTCCTCATTACAGAATTCTGGGTCATTTGGAGGTGGGCTTAAACCTATTTTACTATATTTCAGTATGGATTCAAAATTAAACTTGTGGAGATATATAGTAAATAAGGATACATTTACCAAATAATCACAGAATGTAGACTTTTGTCTGTTTTTTAAATAAATATAGGTGAAAAAACTGTCAAATAGGTGCAATTTGGACACCGTCACATTTATAAGCAAATTTATTTCAATATTGTACTGTACACAGGAACCCTAACCATTTAAAACTATTGAAACTTAAATAAGAAAAAAAAAATCTGAAAAAGTATTAAACCAGGTAGTAAATAGTGAAAAGATTTGATGACTTATTGAATTGCAGATATTAGCACATATTCATTGATAGCTGCATGTTGTGTATTTGTAAAGCTTTTTATTTTTAGGATTCACAGTGGTTAGGAAGGAAGAATTTGGTGGAAACGTAACTTACAAAAAATATCAAGAACTGGAAGATGCTTTTGCTAAAGAGGTAATGAATAGCAACAAAATTAGTATGGTGCAACTTTGTTAAAAGGAAAAGAAGAAATAAAAGATAAAAGAAGAATGTGTCTGTAGACACGAATGCCCACGCTCAAGCTTTAAACAAAAGAAAATGGGACAGACAGTCAAGGGTAACACTTCATGCCCCTGGCGCCTTCGGCCGGGGCATAAAAATCCTGAAAAAAAACAAAATTAACAACTCCAAAGAAAGACATGTACAATTATCTGCCTCAGCTTACTCATATATTCAAGAGGCATTTAACAAGTTTAATATTGTCATGAAATAAAAGTTCCTTCGTAGTACTTACGGAATAAAGAGTATAAAATAATTGTTCCAGCAGGAACAGAAACTATTGCATTGTTTATAACAGTTTCCAGGGGAACTTTTGTGAGGTGTAACAAACATATGTTAACAGAACAATCCCAATTTTTATACGCCCGTTTACGGGACGTATTATGGTATACTGTTGACCGTCTGTCCGTCCGTCGTCAACATGTCAGACATTAACTCAAAAAAGCTTTAACCAATATGCATGAAACTTTGGTGAATTGTTTATATCTATTGACGTGAGCTCCCTTTCGTTTTTTATAAATTTCAGATTTACCGTTTCCGAGTTTTTGGGGATTTACACATTAAAAAAGGGGGGATTTTCCAGTTTTCTGACAATAACTCTAGAATGCTTTCACCAACTTGCAAGAAATTTTGGTGAATTGTTTATATCTATTGACATGAGCTTCCTTTTGGATTTTTATAAATTTTAGATTTAACGTTTCCGAGTTACAAGGTTTTATTCATAAAAAAGGGGGGGATTTTCCAGTTTTTGGACAATAACTCAAAAATGCTTTCAGCAGTTCTCATGAAACTTTGGTGAATTATTTATAGCTGTTGATGTAAGCTCCCTATTGATTTTCATAAATTTCAAATATGACATTGAGAAGAAATTGAACTTTATTTGTTTATAGTCTGACAACAGATTTACTAAGTATTGTGCAACAGCACAGTGTATTGCACAACAGCAAGAAATCTTTAATTGAATATAAATTCAATTCATATAACCAATTTCAAGTTCTTTGACTTCATTTATTCAGAAACCTATAATATGTCAAATATTTAATTACAATCCAAATTCAGACCTGTATCAAGCTTGAATATTGTGTCCATTTTTGCCCCAACTGTTCAGGGTTGGACCTCTGCGGGCATATCCAGCTGTGCTCAGCGAAGCAGTTTATTGAACTTTGACCTGCTATGGACCCAATCACAATGGATTTTGACTTACTAATTTATTGACCAAATTATTTTATACATTTAGGAGGTGCATCCTGGTGATTTAAAGGTAGCTGTAGAGAATTACCTGAATCAGCTGTTAGATCCAATCAGGAAGGAATTTGATACACCTGAACTGAAGAAACTGACTAGCCAAGCTTATCCTGTAGAGAAAAAAAGTAAGATACTGTCTTTTGTTGTATGCTATTAGGACTAAAAGCGTAATATATGTCAAAGATGTGGGAGCCCTATAATTTTCCCTTTGTCCATCTGTCGTCCATCCATCCATCTCTCAGTATGGGCCTTTACTGACATGAAAGTTTATAACTAATTGCAATTGTGACGCTGTTAAGCCTTATGACTTTCAGATAAAAAGTAAAATAACAAAAATACCAATTTCCAAGGAAAATACAAAACAGAAAGTCCTTTATCAAATGGCAAAAGCTCAAACAATCAAATGAATGGAAAACAACTGTTATATTCCTGACTTAGTACAGGCATTTCCTTATGAAGAAAATGACGGATTAAACCTGGTTTAATAGCTAGCTAAACAACTCACTTGTATGACATTTGCATAGAATTCCATTATATTGAAAAAAATGTTTGATCAAAACAAACAGATATAATAGGTAAAAATGTCAAAAATAGGGGTACAGCAGTCAACATTGCGTTATAGTCTTAATCACTATAAAAGCAAACTACGTCAACAAAGAAAAACAGAATGATAATTTTCAAAAGTAAGTATATAAGATCACAGATATTAACCCATTTTTTACCTTAGACTCTGTTATGATTGGCGACAGTAGACAGGTGTACAGTTTACAAAGGTTAAATTTACTAAAGATTATTTGTTTAATGTCCTGATACAAGATTTACATGTAAATTAAAATTGTACAGTTAGGTCCTGTAATTTCATTTGTCAGATACATTGTAGGTCCATGCACTTTGTTCACATATAGTTAAATAAATAATTTATAGAAGAATTAAATTACGGACCAGAAGGTATATGCAGGGTTTGGTTCATACAGGTCTGTTGTATCAGTATATATTATATTACAGAGAAGTCTGGTCAGGCAGGTGGACAGACGGAGGAAGCAATCGTACCATCTAGGTTAGATCTGAGAGTCGGTAAAATCACTAAAGTGGAAAAGGTAAATATATCTAATGAGTCAATAGTTTTCACATATGTATTTATAAATATGTATACTGTGAATTCATTATTATTCGTGGGTGAAGATTAATCTTGAATTTTAAAGTCTAACAAAGTACAACGTTTCTATATACTTGTATGCAGACTTTGGTAAAACAATGAAATGAAATGTCCACTAAAATTGAAATATGAAAATAAATGAATTCACTGTAAATCATCAAATCAAATAAGTTTTACTTTAAGTCGGCAAGTTAGTAACGATACCATTTAAGTTCTAAGCCAGCTTTTGAACCAACATACAGGATAAATTATAGAAATGCATATTATATAGCACAAAAAAAAGAGATGTGGTCCATGCTTCATTGAGACAGCAATCCATAGACACAAATAATGAAAAGATGATCTAGAGTTTAACATAAATTCTTCAGCAACAGACAAATTTCTATACAATATATCAAGCTCTAAATTACTTAAAGAGTCCAAATAGAAATAGTGAACAAATCTAACAGAGGCTATCAAAGATCCTCATTCATTATCAATATCTCTAACAAAAAACAACATTGAGAGTTCACAAAAGACAAATGCTAAGGCCCATTGAACCAATGTGAAAGGGAAGGAATAAATTTCCAATCTCCCCCAGATATATTTTCTTTGTGTAATAATTCGTATGTCAAATTGACAGACAACCTTAATTGATCTACAACCTATGTATAAAAATAAAATGTGCCTTCTATCCCTCCCTCATTCATTTTAATGGAATAGTTCAGTCAAGGTTCACTCCCCCATTAATTTTAATGGAACAGCTCTGATGAGGTTTAAAGATTTCCCATATCAAAACATGCCATTTCTGCTTATAATAATTTGGGGAGGTCAGGCTGCACCTTTCTTCCTTGGAAGACTCAGACCTTTTCTAAACATGTTTTATTTTCTAATTGCAGCATCCAGATGCAGATTCACTATATGTAGAAACAGTAGATTTAGGCAATGGTGAGGAGAGAACTGTAGTCAGTGGGCTAGCTGGACTGGTACCCATGGAAGATTTACAAGACAGGCTAGGAGTGTTTTTATGTAACCTGAAACCCCAAAAAATGAGAGGAATTGAATCTAAGGCCATGCTTATGTGTGCTTCTGTGTAGGTTTTCCTGTATAGATATTACAGACTTGTTATTTAGTGATTCAGTGTAGAATATAAGGCCATTTTGATCTATGCTTCAGTGAAGGCATAAGTTAAAATATTATTAATCGAATATTTTTAAGGATTTGTGATTTGTTAAAACTTGATCACATGTACATTTGTATTTGCTCAGTTTGCACGCCAATACTGTTGTGTTTAGCTTTTCGTAGGTAAAAACATCATATTGCACAGGGCATACAGCATGTTACTAAAAATAGATTCTAGAAATCCCCAATTTTACATTGTTCATGCTATAGTTGTTGATTAATAATATAACAATTGTAGCCTTTGGTTGAGGTCAATACGATGTTATATCGACCCAGAGAAGCATATCGACCTCGGACTTCGTCCTCAGTCAATATGCTTCTCTTAGGTTGATATAACCTCGTATCGACCTCATACAAAGGCTATAATTGTATATTAATGCTATAAATTCATTATTATTTGATTGGTACTCATTTGCCTGGATTTCAAAAAGACAAACCATGAATATCAATCATCAATAAGATAAAGGTTTCTCATAAAGACAAACCATGAATATCAATCATCAATAAGATAAAGGTTTCTCTTAAAGACAAACCATGAATATCAATCATCAATAAGATAAAGGTTTCTCTTAAAGACAAACCATGAATATCAATCATCAATAAGATAAAGGTTTCTCTTAAATAGACAAACCATGAATATCAATCATCAATAAGATAAAGGTTTCTCATAAAGACAAACCATGAATATCAATCATCAATAAGATAAAGGTTTCTCTTAAATAGACAAACCATGAATATCCATCATCAATAAGATAAAGGTTTCTATTAAATAGACAAACCATGAATATCAATCATCAATAAGATAAAGGTTTCTCTTAAAGACAAACCATGAATATCCATCATCAATAAGATAAAGGTTTCTCTTAAATAGACAAACCATGAATATCAATCATCAATAAGATAAAGGTTTCTCTTAAATAGACAAACCATGAATATCAATCATCAATAAGATAAAGGTTTCTCATAAAGACAAACCATGAATATCAATCATCAATAAGATAAAGGTTTCTCTTAAAGACAAACCATGAATATCAATCATCAATAAGATAAAGGTTTCTCATAAAGACAAACCATGAATATCAATCATCAATAAGATAAAGGTTTCTCTTAAAGACAAACCATGAATATCAATCATCAATAAGATAAAGGTTTCTCATAAAGACAAACCATGAATATCAATCATCAATAAGATAAAGGTTTCTCTTAAAGACAAACCATGAATATCAATCATGAATAAGATAAAGGTTTCTCATAAAGACAAACCATGAATATCAATCATCAATAAGATAAAGGTTTCTCATAAAGACAAACCATGAATATCAATCATCAATAAGATAAAGGTTTCTCTTAAAATTGATTGCATAATTTGTCAAATTATAGATTAATGATGGATTTTCAAATGAGAAGGTATTTATCAGATAGATACAAAATCATTGAAGGGCGCCATATTCTACCACTGCATCGAGTGTGATAGGATATGCTCCACTCGAGATGGTAAAAATTTTCAAATTATATAAATATTTAAAAAACTAAAGAAGATATAGAGAAACTGCAAACAGAAAAAATGATCAGCAATACAAGATCAGCAAAAAAGGATTTTTTATTTCTCCTCTCAACTGTCGAGAGTGGAGAAACATCATTCTGCACAAGATTTGGGGGTAGAATCTGTTTCTTTCTTGATTTTTATACGACCGCAAAAAAATTTTTGTGGTCGTATATTGGTATGACGTTGGCGTCGTCGTCGTCCGGCGTCGTCGTCGTCGTCCGAAGACACATTGGTTTTCGCACTCTAACTTTAGTTTAAGTGAATGGATCTTTATGAAATTTTACCACAAGGTTCAATACCACAAAAGGAAGGTTGGGATTGATTTTGGGGGTTATGGTAATAACAGTAAAGGCATTAGGGGCCAAAAAGGGGCCAAAAATAAGCATTTTTGTAACTTCCACACATAACTTGTGTGTTAGTGTATGGATCTCTCTGACATTGTACCACAAGGTTCCATATCACTAAAGGAATGCTGGGATTGATTTTGGGGGTAATTGCCTCTAAATTTTAGGAATTAGGGGCCAAAAAAGGGGCAAAAAACAAGCATTTTTCTAGTTTCATGACAATAACTTGTGTGTAAGTGTATGGATCTTTCTGAAATTGTACTACAAGGTTCCATATCACAAAGGGAAAGCTGGGTCTGAGTTTGGGGGTAATTGCCCTAAACGTTTAGGAATTTGGGGCCAAAAAGGGGCCAAAAAACACATTTTTTTCTAGTTTCCAGACAATAACTTGTGTTCAAGTGTATGGATCTCTCTGAAATTGTACTGCAAGGTGCCATACCACAAAGGGAAGGCTGGGATTGAGTTTGGGGGTGATGAATCATAATGGGGGTTCAAAAAATTTTTGGGGGGGGATTTATTTTTTTTTCCTTTTTTTTCTTTTTTTCCTTTTTTGTTTCTTTTAAAATTTTCCATTTTAAGTTGGTTATTTCTGATTTATATTTAAAATCAAATAATAATGATATGGTAGGAGATACACACCAAACAGGATGTGTAAATTATTATATAATAAGTATTGTGCAATAGCAAGAAATTTTCAATTGCACAGTATTGCACAATAGCAAGAAATCTTCAATTGCACAGTATTGCGCAATAGCAAGAAATCTTCAATTGCACAGTATTGCGCAATAGCAAGAAATATCCAATAGCACAATATTGCGCAATAGCAAGAAATTGTCAATTGTACAGTATTGCGCAATAGCAAGAAATATTTAATAGCACAGGATTGTGCAAAAGAAGATACTTCCTATAAATTGCTTATTTCTTGACCAATTTCAATGGGGTTTTATTCTTGATTTCATGGGGTTCTTTAATATGCTGAATCTAACCGTGTATTTAGTTTTTGGATTTTGGGCCCCGTTTTTAAATTGGTCCACATTGAGGTCCAAAGGGTCCAAAATTAAACTTTGTTTGATTTCATCAAAAATTGAATTATTGGGGTTCTTTGATATGCCGAATCTAACTGTGTATTTAGATTCTTAAATTTTGGTTCCGTTTTCAAATTGGTCTACATTAAGGTCCAAAGGGTCCAAAATTAAACTTAGTTTGATTTTAACAAAAATTGAATTCTTAGGGTTCTTTGATATGCTGAATCTAAACATGTATTTAGATTTTTGATTATGGGCCCAGTTTTCAAGTTGGTCCAAATCAGGGTCCAAAATTAAACTTTGTTTGATTTCAACAAAAATTGAATATATGGGGTTCTTTGATATGCTGAATCTAACCATGTATTTAGATTTTTGATTTTTGGGCCCCGTTATCAACTTTGTCCACATTGAGGTCAAAAGGGTCCAAAATTAAACTTTGTTTGATTTCATCAAAAATTGATTTATTGGGGTTCTTTGATATGCCGAATCTAACCGTGTATTTAGATTCTTAATTTTTGGTTCCGTTTTCAAATTGGTCTACATTAAGGTCCAAAGGGTCCAAAATTAAACTTAGTTTGATTTTAACAAAAATTGAATTCTTAGGGTTCTTTGATATGCTGAATCTAAACATGTATTTAGATTTTTGATTATGGGCCCAGTTTTCAAGTTGGTCCAAATCGGGTCCAAAATTAAACTTTGTTTGATTTCTACAAAAATTGAATATATGGGGTTCTTTGATATGCTGAATCTAACCATGTATTTAGATTTTTGATTTTTGGGCCCCGTTATCAACTTTGTCCACATTGAGGTCAAAAGGGTCCAAAATTAAACTTTGTTTGATTTCATCAAAAATTGAATTATTGGGGTTCTTTGATATGCCGAATCTAACCGTGTATTTAGATTCTTAATTTTTGGTTCCGTTTTCAAATTGGTCTACATTAAGGTCCAAAGGGTCCAAAATTAAACTTAGTTTGATTTTAACAAAAATTGAATTCTTAGGGTTCTTTGATATGCTGAATCTAAACATGTATTTAGATTTTTGATTATGGGCCCAGTTTTCAAGTTGGTCCAAATCGGGGTCCAAAATTAAACTTTGTTTGATTTCAACAAAAATTGAAAATATGGGGTTCTTTGATATGCTGAATCTGACCATGTATTTAGATTTTTGATTTTTGGGCCCCGTTATCAACTTTGTCCACATTGAGATCAAAAGGGTCCAAAATTAAACTTTGTTTGATTTCATCAAAAATTGAATTCTTGGGGTTCTTTGATATGCTGAATCTAACCATGTATTTAGATTCTTAATTTTTGGTTCCGTTTTCAAATTGGTCTACATTAAGGTCCAAAGGGTCCAAAATTAAACTTAGTTTGATTTTAACAAAAATTGAATTCTTAGGGTTCTTTGATATGCTGAATCTAAACATGTATTTAGATTTTTGATTATAGGCCCAGTTTTCAAGTTGGTCCAAATCGGGGTCCAAAATTAAACTTTGTTTGATTTCAACAAAAATTGAATATATGGGGTTCTTTGATATGCTGAATCTAACCATGTATTTAGATTTTTGTTTTTGTGGCCCCGTTATCAACTTTGTCCACATTGAGGTCAAAAGGGTCCAAAAATAAACTTTGTTTGATTTCATCAAAAATTGAATTCTTGGGGTTCTTTGATATGCTGAATCTAACCATGTATTTAGATTTTGGATATTGGACCATAATAGGTGAATGTCCAATTTAAAATTTTTAAGTTCTTAGACCACATTCATTCTGTGTCAAATATTTAATCACAATCCAAATGCAAAGCTGTATCAAGCTTGAATGTTGTGTCCATACTTGCCCCAACTGTTCAGGGTTCGACCTCTGCGGTCGTATCAAGCTGCGCCCTGCGGAGCATTTTATTGCTTTTTAAAGTTTTTATTTGTTATACGCCCGTTTACGGGACGTATTATGGTATACCATTGTCTGTCTGTCCTTTGTCAACATGTCGGACATTAACTCAAAAATGCTTTAACCAATTTGCATAAAACTTTAATGAATTGTTTATATCTATTGTTGTGAGCTCACTTTCGTTTTTTATAAAATTTAGATTTTACGTTTCCGAGTTATGGGGTTTTATTCATTAAAAAATGGGGATTTTCCAGTTTTCGGACAATAAGTCGAGAATGCTTTCACCAACTTGAAAGAAATTGTGGTGAATTGTTTATATCTATTGACATGAGCTCGCTTTTGATTTTTATAAATTTTAGATTTTACATTTCCGAGTTACAGGGTTTTATTCATAAAAAAGGGGGGATTTTCCCGTTTTCGGACAAAAACTCAAAAATGCTTTCAGCAATTCTTATGAAACTTTGGTGAATTGTTTATATCTATTGATGTAAGCTCCCTTTAGAATTTTATAAATTTTACATTTTACATTTCTGAGTTATGGGGTTTTATTCATTAAAAAAAGGGGTGATTTTCCAGTTTTCCGACAATAACTCAAAAATGCTGTCACCAATTCTCATGAAACTTTGGTGAATTGTTTATATCTATTGATGTAAGCTCCTTTTTTATTTTCATAAATTTCTAATATGACATTGAGAATTGATTGAACTTTATTTGTTTATAGTCTGACAACAGATTTACTAAGTATTGCACAACAGCAAGAAATCTTTAATTGAACATAAATTCAATTCATATAACCAGTTTCAAGTTCTTTGAATACATTTATTCAGAAACCTATAATATGTCAAATATTTAATTACAATCCAAATTCAGACCTGAATCAAGCTTGAATATTGTGTCCATTTTTGCCCCAACTATTCAGGGTTGGACCTCTGCAGGCGTATCTGGCTGCGCTCAGCGAAGCAGTTTATCTATTGTAGTTTTTAAGAAATTAGGCAAAAACACAAAAAAATAGTTAAAATAGTCAAGAGAAAAAAGTCTAATAAGAAGTTGTCTGACAATTTCGGTTTAGTTGACTTTTGGTCAGGTGAGCTAGAAATGCAAATTTTTAAAGTTTTCAAGCAACAGCATGGGCTTGTTTGTGACATCATCTATATTTATGATGTACTGAATCCTGTACTGACCTGATTTTTATTTTGTAGTGCTGAGCCAAGGGCAGTAGAACCTTTAAACCCACCAGAGGGCAGTGCACCAGGGGAGAGAGTATTTTTCGAAGAACATGAGTCTGGCAAACCTGATGAAGAATTGAAGCCAAAGAAAAAAGTGTGGGAACAATTACAGGTGAGTGTAAAATGCCAGAAAAGATATTTTTTTATCTCAATGGTCAGAGAAAACCTTTGGTTTGTTCTATTCCATTAATTCCAAATTCCTGTAGCTTAAGGGAAAATTTTATATTTCATAGATGGTAATTCCTTAGTTTGATGATATTTTTCTATTACCAAGAAAAGGAAGTAGCAGATGAAATATATTAAAGGAAAAGTCAAACACAGATAAATGATTACTATCACAATTTTCTATCTGTACATATTTTCTGTTGACTCTTCCACAATGATTGTCAAGGTGGCATATTTTCTTTTGACTGTTCCACAATATTTGTCAAGGACGGCATATTTTGTGTTGACTGTTCCAAAATGGTTGTGAAGATGGCATATTTTGTGTTGACTGATCCACAATGATTGTGAAGGACAGCATATTTTCTGTTGACTGTTCCACAATGATCATGAAGACTGCATATTTTCTGTTGACTGTGTCACAATGATTGGAAAGGACGACATATTTTATGTTTACTGTTCCACAATGATTGTGACTGTAGACATGGTAGACACATGATAACAAGTCAGAGTATTTTGGCCTTTTGCCAATCACTTCCCTGATTGAGATTGTTTTCTGCCAATCACTTCACTGATTGAGATTGTCTTCAGAATGATTACAAGTCAGACTATGTTGGCCTTTTGCCAATCACTTCACTGATTGAGATTGTCTTGTCAGACTATTTTGGCCTTTTGCCAATCACTTCACTGATTGAGATTGTCTTGTCATACTATGTTGGCCTTTTGCCAATCACTTTACTGATTGACATAGTCTTGTCAGACTATGTTGGCCTTTTGCCAATCACTTCACTGATTGAGATTGTCTTGTCAGACTATGTTGGCCTTTTGCCAATCACTTTACTGATTGAGATTGTCTTGTCAGACTATATTGGCCTTTTGCCAATCACTTCACTGATTGAGATTGATTGTCTTGTCGGACTATGTTGGCCTTTTGCCAATCACTTCACTGATTGAGATTGTCTTGTCAGACTATGTTGGGCTTTTGCCAATCACTTTACTGATTGAGATTGTCTTTTCAGACTATGTTGGACTTTTGCTAATCACTTTACTGATTTAGATTGTCTTGTCATACTATGTTGGCCTTTTGCCAATCACTTCACTGATTGAGATTGTCTTGTCATACTATGTTAGGCTTTTGCCAATCAATTCACTGATTGAGATTTTCTTCTCAGACTATGTTGGGCTTTTGCCAATCACTTCACTGATTGACATTGTCTTCTCAGACTATGTTGGGCTTTTTTGCCAATCACTTCACTGATTGAGATTGTCTTGTCATACTATGTTGGCCTTTTGCCAATCACTTCACTGATTGAGATTGTCTTGTCATACTATGTTGGCCTTTTGCCAATCACTTCACTGATTGAGATTTTCTTCTCAGACTATGTTGGGCTTTTGCCAATCACTTCACTGATTGAGATTGTCTTCTCAGACTATGTTGGGGTTTTTCCAATCACTTTACTGATTGAGATTGTCTTGTCATACTATGTTGGCCTTTTGCCAATCACTTCACTGATTGAGATTGTCTTCACAAACTTTGCAAATGTGTATGGTCATTGATGTTTTCTATACCTCAGAGTTTACATCTTTTTCCATTTTTAGCTCACCTGACCCAACGGGCCAAGTGAGCTTTTCTCATCACTTGGCGTCCTTCGTCCGCCGTCGTCCGTTAACTTTTACAAAAATCTTCTCCTCTGAAACTACTGGGCCAAATTTAACCAAACTTGACCACAATCTTTATTTGGGTATTTTAAAAAATGTGTCTGATGCCCCCTCCTGCCAACCAACATGGCCGCCATGGCTAAAAATAGAACATAGGGTTAAAATGCAAGTTTTGTCTATTATTTTGAAAACCATTATAAATAGAGAAAATCGACAGGTGCAAAAATGTTCAGAATGTTAAGCTCTACCAATTGTCCATATACATCAAAATTGTCAGACGACTTCTTATAGGAGTTATTGGCCTTAAATGACAAATTTTCTATTTTTTTTTTTTTCATTTTTGCCTATTATCTTGAAAACTATAATAGATACAGAGAAACAGTAAACTGCAAAAATGATCAGCAAGACAAGTTCTACATTATTGAAATCGTCAGATGACTCCTTATGAGAGTTAATTCCCTTTGATGATGATTTTTACCAATTTTTTGCATTTTTGCCTTATATCTTAAAAATTATATTAGATAGATAGAAACATGAATAAGCAAAAATGATCAGCAAGACAAGATCTACTATTAAGACAATATAGAGGAAATCGTCCGACGTCTCCTTGGAATTATTGCCCTTTAATGACGATTTTTATCATTTTTGGGGTTTTGCATTACATGATAAAAATTATAATAGATAGATAGACACTTTAAATCACAAACATAATCAGCAAGGCAAGATCTACTAACAAGTCACATTTCGCTGATATAGGTAGGTAAGGAATTTCTTTTACCCTCTTTTGTGTTTTGAGCAAAAACTAAAGAAGATAGAGAGAAACTCAACAAACTAAATGATCAGCAATACAAGATCAACAAAACAGAGATTTTTGTAATGAATTCTATTCTCGTCTACAATGTTGGAGAGTGTCCTTTGTTGAATATGCACATAGACCAAGGTGAGCGACACAGGCTCTTTAGAGCCCAAAGTTTCTGTACACATCTTTCACAGTGTATTAATAGCTAAAAATTTTAGAATAAGTCAGATTTATTTCAATCAATTAAGAAAAAAAATCATGATTGAATTTTTTTTCATGCAATTAAATACATTTAAAAAATAGGAAAATAATATATTTTTAAATTAGTGCTAATGTTCATGTTTTTATTTTCAGCCTGATTTACGAACAAATAGTGACTGTGTAGCAGAATGGCAAGGAAACATAATGAAGACAAAGTTAGGGAATGTTACGTGTAAATCACTGAAATCATCGCCGATTAAATGATACAGATCAGATGTAGGATGTATTTATTTATTTTGAACACCATCGTCGAGGAACTCAGTTGTGATACAAACTATTCAGTCATTGTATTTTAATGTTCCATATAATTTTAATTTATTGGTTGACTGCCATATTTTTTTTGGTTGAGAGTATTTAAGCAATTGTATGTAACATAAATGACTCTTCACTGAAAGCATTGTCAACATATCTTTTGTGGAGATTATTTTAGCAATTGTATGCAATACATATTAAAACTACTATTCACTGTTAGTGTTGTCAACATATTTTTTGTGGAGAATATTTAATATAATTTTAAGTTACATAAATTTCTATGCACTGATAGTGTTATCGACATTTTTTTTTTTTAAAGAATCAAATTATTTAAAATGAATGCATCAAAGTGATTCCCACCTAAAATGAATTTTATATTATAATACAAAATTATAGTATTTGAAGAGTTGCTGATTTTCCGGCTGCAAATAATGTTCAAGTGATGAGTGTTCCAATTCTAATGTTACATTTGAAATATTATGGTATATGTCAACTAGGATTATCTATTGTTAATATCCAATATCATCCATTCAAATAAGGAACAGGGTGCTAAATATAGAATTACAGTAGAATTTTGTTTCTCTAACTTTTGCACTATTTTTCACATTTCCCAACCGATTGTGAAAAAAAATGTTCTCCTCACTAGTGAAATAACTGTTCTCAGCAAATGATTGGTCGAAATTTTAATTATGACGTCCAATTTTCTTGGTTTCTTCTGAATTTCCTATTGTGACGTCATAAAAAAAGGCGACCATGTCTGATGACGTCACATATAAAGAACACAACTGTCTGCAAATCTTTAAAAAGGAAGGATAAAAATCATTAGAGAAACAGATTCCACCACTTTAACTCGTGTATTACGAAATCTCTCCACTCTCAACAGTTAAATTTCAATTATTTAAAAGGCTCGGCAAGCCTCGCGCTTTAAATAAATAAATTTAACTGTCTCGAGTGGAGAAATATCGTAATACACTTGATGCAGTTGTGGAATCTATATATATCCAGTGTTCTGTTAAGTTTGGCATGAAGGAGAAACATTCCTACATTTATTACCATGCATACACATATTGCCTGCAGTTTTATTCTTTTTTTCATATCTGTAAATGCTAATGAATTTTTTTACAGAAATGTCCATAAGATAGGTGGGGAGACATTTTGAAAATATTATAAAATAGAAGATTGATGGTAAAAGTGTCATGATCTGCTATAAACTTTTTTGTTAGCTTATCCACTTTATAATGTTAAAATATTTTTATAATCAAATAAGATTTTGCTCGTCTCATTAGATTTAAATGTTTTGTTTTGTGAACATGTTACTTGTGTCACATTTCTAAAGGTTATGGTATCCATTTGTTTCAACTTTATTCATCTAGGTCACAAAATAAAAATTTATTGTTTATTATTTTCATTTTTTTCTTAAATATTCAAATTTGATTTATATATGTTCTATGTTGATATTTTCACAATATCCCATCTTGACAGCTCAATTTAAGCATGTTTAAACAGAAACCATATAAAGATTATAAATCAACGTCGGTATCAAACTAGAAAATCGTTTCATTGTACCCAGAGAACAACTGGCCTTGAAGATAATGTTTTTTCATTCATTTCAGGTGCGATCTTTGGTCATAAAACTTAACTTAGTACTCAGAGACCAAATTTGTGCTCGAAACACTGAATCCAGTATTTTGATTGGTCGATTTCTGTGTCTGAGTCCAGGGTATGATAATCCTGGTTGAAATTTTTATGTCTGCAAGGCCAGGTATAATTAGACATTTCCACTCAAAGTTTATTTTAGATTTTGTAAAAATATTAACCACAAAAGTCGAACTTATTTATCTAAAGTACTGTGGATTCCCAATTTTCAGGGACTTTGTGTGTACAGTTTTACCACAATTTTCAGGGACTTTGTGTGTACAGTTTTACCACAATTTTCAGGGACTTTGTGTGTACAGTTTATCCACAAATTTAAGTGTCCAACAAAATGCAAATTTCCTGGACAATTTTATGCCTAGTTAGTCAAAACCCTCAAATTATGTACAAATACATTTTTTCTACAATCCATAGAAATTGGTACTCATGAAAAAAAATAAACTCACAGTACTTTAATTAGTGTATTCTGATATCAAACGTTAGAAATTACCAAACTAATGGAAAGTGTTTGTATTTTGTTTGGTACTATTATTCTTATTTTGATTTGATGAAATCTGTGTCATTGTATTAATGACAATATGTTTAACAGGTTTAAAATTAATAGTTTTATTAAATTATTAAATGTATGCAATAAATGTTCAGATCTATAACAGATGTGGCATTGGTGCTTTCTGTATAGGATCTTTTATGCAGACATCATACAAGTTGTAATTGCTATTTTTATAAGCAATGACAGAATCAATACTTCAAATCTTTATCACATGTTCATTTAAGCAATATTTTAATACTGTTATTTAAAGAAGCTGCAAAGAAATGAGAATAAATATGTGACCCATTATAGCTGTTGGAGTTTTTTTTGCTATGTAATCTTTCAGGTGATTACATTCTTATCAAGAGGGCCATGGTGGGAGGGTGGACTAGTAGTTCCTTGTGAAGCTATCACTAGTCAGCTGTCAGCATTTAGAAAGTTTGTGGCATGTACATTTGATTCCTATCTTAATTGATGAGGAATGCCAGTTTTCCTGCCGAAGGTCTGCGGTTCTGTCCACGTACTCCAGCTTTTCATCAATAATAAAATGCTCCGCTGGGCGCAGCTTGATACGACCGCAAAGGTCGAACCCTGAACAGTTGGGGCAAGTATGGACACAACATTCAAGCTTGATACAGCTCTGAATTTGGATTGTGATTAAATATTTGACACAGCATAGGTTTCTGACACAGAATGAATGTGGTCTAAGAACTTAAAAAATTTTAATTTACCTATTATGGTCCAATATCCAAAATCAAGAAAGTTTGTGTCATGTATATTTGATTCCTATCTTAATTGATGAGGAATGCCAGTTTTCCTGCCGAAGGTCTGCGGTTCTCTCCACGTACTCCAGCTTTTCATCAGTAAAAATTAGCCATCACGATATCACCACAAGTCCTTAAAGTGGTGTTCAATACCACCAATCAATCAATGATTTAATCATAAATTGTAATACACTCTTTAGTCAAAGGGAACTCTACCAACACAAAATTAAGGAGGCACTGGTTTAACTTGTCTATTTACTCTTTTTCTCGGTATTTATTGAAACTGAAATTATAAAATTAATGGAGATGCAACTCATCTTCACAAAATAAAAAAATAGAGGCTCTAAAGAGCCTGTGTCACTCATCTTGGTCTATTCGTATTCAACAAAGGACACCCTCCTTTAATCTGTATAGTTTCTCTCTATCTTATTTAGTTTTTTTTCAAAACACGAAAGAGGATAACAAAAATCCCTTGATATAAAGCTTTACTTCAACTATCACATAAACTTAACATGATCCAAGAAAATGAGGTCAAGGACAGATAAACCAAACCGGAAATGCATGTACACCTTACAATCATTCCATACACCAAATATACTTTAAACATAGTTGACCTATTGCACATCTAAGAAACAAACTTAACCAGGAAAACTTAAAATTAGGGATGTCAATGAGTACTCGAGTATGGCTCGGTAGTACAAGTATCGAATACCAAAATGATACTCGACTAATCGGTTTTCTGTTAGAATGTTGTTGCCTTCTTAAAGAAATAATATTTTTATTAAGAGCGCCTCCCGGGAAATTAAATATTAATCAAAATTAATCAAAATTAAAATACATTTCGAATGTTTGCGTTTAATTGTCATTTAAAATTCCTCCGAACATAGGAAGGCTATGAACAAAAGCACCTTTCCAAGGCTTACACTTTTAGCTTAACGTGTCTTAGTCATCCCACCACCTCTGTACCGTAAGAACAGATATTTTCATCAGCAGGACTGTTAGTTTTGTAACAAAGCTGAGAAAACGATTCCCAAATACTATTGTTTGAGTAATCATTTTTCTATTGATTTTTTATTAATTAATTGATTAGATCATTGCCAGTTTACATAATTAGTATATGTAGTAAATGAGCTATTAATTATGGTATAAAATTCCTGGGACTATTATCTTGTCCTGGGTAATAATGTTGAGGGTTTTACGTCCATAAGACAACGTCCCACAATACATAAAATGGGTATAATTTTGTATTTACATTTTGTAGATGTTTTTTCCGAGCGAGTACCGGGTACTGGAGTATCGCTCGGTAAATCCTACGAGTACTCGATTCGTAAATCTTCACCGAGTTGACATCCCTACTTAAAATTGATCAATGAACCATGAAAATGAGGTCAAGGTCAGATGAACCCTGCTAGACAGACATGTACACCTTACATTCATTACATGCTTTAAATAAAGTTGACCTATTGCATATAGTATCTAAGAAACAAACTTAACCAGGAAAACCTAAGATTGACCAATGAACCATGAAAAGTAGGTCATGGGCAGATGGATAATTGCAAGACATATACACCTTACAATCATTCCATACACCAAATATAGAAGACCTGTTGCTTATAGTTTCTGCTTACTGATCCATGAAGTGAGATCGAGGTCAAGTGAAAACTGTCTGATGGGCATGAGGACCTTGCAAGGTACCCACAAACCAAATATAGTTATCCTTGAACTCATAATAAGTGAGAAATTAAGAATACTGAAAATATTAACTTTTTTTCAAGTAGTCAATGAACCATGAAAATGAGGTCAAGGACAATGGACATACGACAGACAAACTTCATAACATAAGGCATCTATATACAAAGGATGAAGCATCCAGGTCTTCTACTTTCTGAAATATTAAGCTTTTATTGCGAACCCAATGAAAGTTTTCCACAGTGCAATCTCTATCTTGACCAGGTATTTAAACTTTTGCAAGTTCACCTGTCCTATTGAATAAATACAATAGCTATTGTTCTCTGTGTAGTTTATTCTCTGGGACCTTTAAATTTCTTCTAAGAGAAATCTATCATTCATTGATTAAATTACCTGAGTGAAAAAATGATCTTATATGTAGACAAAAATACTGTTTTTATACTCATTAACTGTGTGTGATGATGTATTTATTCAATATTAATAATATATTTTCATTCAGTTTAATATAAACATTGATTCAATCATAAAAAGTTGATTTCTGACAAAACTTTCAACATTGTTCCTTTTAAAAAAAAGATTGTTTGACATGAATAAGAACTTGAAAATAATGATGTTTCAAATTAAGATCTTCTTAAATGTATTCTATAACTAAACAAAAAAAAATCAAATTTCAATAGGAACATTGATAAAACTTTTGTTAGAAATTAACTTTTTATGATTGAATCAATGTTTATATTAAACTGAATGAAAATATATTATTAATATTGAATAAATACATCATCACACGCAATTAATGAGTATAAAAAAAGTATTTTTGTCTATATATAAGAATTTTTTTTTACTCAGGTAATTTAATCAATGAATGATAGATTTCTCTTAGAAGAAATTTAAAGGTCCCAGAGAATAAACTACACAGAGAACAATAGCTATTGTATTTATTCAATAGGACAGGTGAACTTGCAAAAGTTTAAATACCTGGTCAAGATAGAGATGGCACTGTGGAAAACTTTCATTGGGTTCGCAATAATAAGTTTGTTAACACCCTGTCGGATCACTATCCATATGTCAAGCGTTATGCGACAGAAGTCGCAGGCTCAACAAAAAACTTTAACCACAGACTGAACCTAAATGTTGACGCCACTGACGACAGAATCTAGGATCTATGTGTCTTGCTTTCACGACATAAATGATGCAGGCTCGACAAAAATGGTTATTTTTGGCCCCTTTGGGACAGCTTATTCCTAAACAGACTTTGGAACCTTGTGTTACAATATCATACAGATTCATTCACTTATACTGAAGTTATTGTCTGGAAACCTTCAGATGACAACAACATTAATTATTTGCCATACCATTTCACAACCGAAAATTTTTGCAGTCGTATAAATAGGAGAGATAAACAAATCTGCAAGAAATAGAAGTCTCTAACACTTTTGTATATAATTTATTCATATTTACATTTGTATATAAAATAAATGACCTATACATATAACAAATATAAAATACCAATAAAAACAATGATCTATTTTCTGTATAAACAGTCTGTTCTATGTCTTACACTCTTTCCTGTAGGGCAACATTTCTTAATCAAAAAGATGTCAATTTGTTTAATACTTTCGTGTCCAAGGTTTTGTCATTAAACAAATTCTATTTTTTGTTACTTTTGCAATTAAAATGAACAAAATTAAGAACTAAAACAATGACTTGTGAAAACATGGGTCAGATTTTTATGGATAAAATAAGCACATTAAAATGTAGCCAAGGACTCTTAAATTATGAATTTGAAACGCAAGTTCATTTTCCCATGGAAGCAATAAGTTTTGCCATATCATAATTGCTACCAAAATGAAATTTTTACTTTATCAACTCTTATCTCAAATATGTGCGCTATTTGAAACTTTAAAGAAAATTAATGAGCTAATAAGTTTGTATGGTACTATTTATACAGAAGACAAATTATATAATCACAGACAGTAATATTGATGGGCAAGATAATGAATTATGAATGATGCATACACACTTACTGGATACCACAGTTAACTGGCATTCACATCAACAATAGAATAATGTAACAGGGATCCAGTTTACTCTTGGTGGATTGTACACTGCAATAATAGAATTATGTAGCAGGGATCCAGTTTACTCTAACATAAAAACGTGGTAAATGATGAACATATCCATTTTTGACCTTTTGTGGGTATCAGTTAGCAGAAATATTCAGGGTACAGGACTGAACAGAAATACAAATGGCTGGACAAAAAAAGCCTTTTTTCTTAAGTTAAAAGCAGACAAATTCTTTCTTATTAAATTAAAAAACAAACTTTAAACTGAGAAATTATGAAGCTAGTAGTAAATAGTGATGCCCTAAATATATTACTATTTTATTTCCATTTGCAATATCTCTAAGAACTAAAATGAATATTTTTTAAAGAAGATATAAATATAAACAGGTGGGTATATGTAAATGAGACAGTAACCCAGCTACACAAAAAAAACCCAAGAAACTTTAGAGGCAATTTATTGCTCTTCAATGATAACTACTAATACTTAGAACATGTATAATACGAAATAAATAAATGAATATTTTCCCCAACTAATTTGAAATTTGTCTTTAGAAACATTTATTTTTAAACTGAAACAGTTTCACATCTTAACCACTGTTGGGAAAATTGTACAATCACCCAAATTACACTCCTACATACTAACCAAACAGTAAATACGTATTAACCTTTAACCAAACATTCACACTATCAGGCACTATGAGAGGAGATGATGTCTGGAATGATTACTTTGATCATAAATATTAATATTCATGAGATAATAAGCTACTTGGTGATTTAAGTCCGAAAACTATTTTTTTAGAATATTTTTAATTTGCCTTTTAACAATCCAATATAGGGAACAAATTCTAATTACCTTCTTACTTGTGTTACATTTTCATAACAAGTACTGGGTAAAAATTGAGTAAAAAAACATGGACAGCTTCAGAATGAAACTACACAAAATAAAATATGTTTCACTTTAAAAATTGACTCTCTCAGTGTATTCAAATTAAAACAAAAAATTCTTTCAAGATTAAAACTAGCACAACATTATGAGCACTTTATAAAATAAATTAAACAAAATAAAAAATACATTCTTTCCCTCAGTAGTCAAATAAAAAATACATTCTTTTCCTCAGTAGTCAAAATGTACTTAAAAGTGCAAGCTGAAGTTAAAAATTTTTACAGCATATTTACTTGAACGTGTACAAAGAAAAATGTATTCACTCATTGGACCATGAAAATCATTAAAATATTGTTTACTTTCTACTGACTGAGGAAAATTATCCTCATAAGCCAATCAACTTCTGTTTGACCAGTTTGATTTTATAAAATTACAATAGTTAAAGATTGATTGATTATCTGTTGTTTGCTTACATTCAGTGGCTAAATGAGAATTCATGGTTGTACTTATAAATAGCAAACTTTATTTTTCAGTGGACACACTAGTAGTGACTAGTCTAGCTGCAACTGAGTTCTTCCAAAAAATGAAAAATATTAGATGGAGACAACTGATAAATACTTAATGTAAGACAATATTTCAGCCTTAAACTGACACATTTAAATAAGAAAAGCATCCTTGCAATGATGCTTTAAATGGAAGGACAGAATTGACAATCACACATCAAGTCACCATAAAGGGAGATAATATTTTGATTTGCCAATGAAATATGTATAATTATGTCCCTTTATATACTGTAATTAATGCATTTGCTGAGGTACACATGAATAATATCAGGGAGGCATGTAGCTATAGTTCTTGTTGATACAAGGGCATATTCATACTCCAGCAGAAAAACTGAAACAATATAACTATGATAATATCCAAAACTGATTACCTTTGAATATTTTGTGTGAATTTAACCTGAATGGGGAAAATGTAAATATGGAATGGAAAAATGTAAAAACCAAATTTCCTCCTGTATTATAATTGGAATAAACTTATATCAAAGGTATGACATCTTATTGTTGTTCTTCATCTTCTTAAGTTATTTGAAAGCCATTAATTAAGGATCCACAGTATCGTAAAGGAAAATCATTAACAAATCTGGAGTAAACTTGGCCAGACCTCTTTGATATTCACAAATAACTGTTGTAAATTGTCCTGAACAAGTAAATATGCTCTTTTAATGATTAAACATATTTAACTACTGAGGCCGTCCTATAAAAACTCATTCATTGCCAGACAATGCAATGGTATCATATTTTTGGAGTATAAATATGCCCTGTTTTAAAATGCACAATTGTATATTACTAATATCATAGTCACTATTCCCATTTAAGATCATCTTTCCGTAATGTTGTTTGTAATTTTTTCATGTCTTTCAGAACGTTTAACGACACTTTATGTCCACTGTGTGGCCTAACTTGCACCTTTCCAACATTAGAACCTTTTGTTCGTATCGTAGTCGTCACTTCCACTTCACCGTTTCCAGAACTATAATTAGAACAGGATGATTTTGTACGAGGTGTTGTCTCTTTTGAGTCTATTTGTTTCGCAGAGTTTGGACGTTTCTTCATTTTCTTCTTCTTTTCTTCTAACTGAAATTTAAATAATAATAAAATAAACATTTTAAGATGGTACCAAACGCCTTGACTAAAATAATTTGGCCTCGTTTAATTTTCATAAAATTCTGACATAATATTTACTTTGACCCTTTAACAAAAATTTCAAAATTTCAAAAAAATGAACCACTCACTTTATCGGAAAGATTTCATTTGATACATAGCAGTTAGACAAACACTTATTCTGATCATTGAGAAGATTAATATTACCTTAACAATAGAATGTGATCAAAACGTTCAGCTGATCTTTACAGAGTTATCTCCCTGTAGCGTTATGTATCACCTTCAACATTCTCAAATAAACCCATAAAATAATTTTCCTTTCATCTACCTTGTTTAAGGGCATATGATACAGTTTTGATCCCAAAATAACTCATATTTATCAAATGTTCATGAATGTAGAAAAAAAACGTCATTTTTTGCTGTATATTTATCAAATTTAAAATAATTGCACTATTGACTTTTTCATGAAAATTGGTACACATAATCTTCATACGTAATCAAACCAAATGTCATTTTAAAAAAGAAGGGTCCATGAACTCGTTTTCAAGTTAAATCAGTTTGAATGATAAAAATCAGTCGAAAACTGCATCTTTTCCCGATAAGTCACAGTTTGACGTCGTGAAAATAACAATTTACGTTAGCAATGTAATTACTTCCCCTGTAACTGTATCGTATGCCCTTAAGAAAGAAAATGCTTTACACTTAATGTACATTTTGATATCACTCTTGTAGTTTGTTTTTCCAATATTTCATCTACCTTCTGCAATGTTTTTTTTTCAATTTTGACTTTCACCAAACCCCTCTGGATTTTCATTACAATTGATATTAACTTTATACTTTAATGATATTTTTGAATCTATGACATTCCTACTTTTACTTTTAATATTATTCATGTATTTTATAGTTTCTTCTAAATTTTTTGAAAATTATTCCCACCTTTTGTTGATATTATCCTACCTTTTGTTGATGTTTCCTAACTTTGATATTGTCCCTACCATTTTTCATGTTTTTCTAACTTTTGATATAATTCCTCCCATTTTTAATGCCTTTCTAACTTTTGATCTTATCCCTACCATTTTTTATGTTTTTGATGACTTTTTATTATATCATCCCTACCTTTTGTTGATGTTTCCTAACTTTTGATATCTGTTGACTTTTAGCCTCCATCCTAGAGACCAAAGCTTCAAGTTCTCTCTCCAAATCTTCTCTCACTTTATGGTCTGTTGCTTCATTGATTTCATTGGAAATTTCTTGATGTTCACTAAAAAATTACAATACAACACTTAAATCATCTTTACTTAAAACTTACCATCTTAAAATGTTTATTTTATTATTATTTAAATTTCAGTATGTATTTATACTTTTTGCATTGGTTGTTATTAATGTTGTGTTCACATACATGGATTCACATGGCAATGTTTATGTTGTGTTCACATACATGGATTCACATGGAAATGTCTATGAGCATTGCCAAAGTCTGCAACTTTGTCAGGTCTAGTTTCAATGAATATTTTTCCATTCTTTTTCCACATTTAAATATTTGTATGAAATCATATGAACTCATATCAAGTTTCTAGGAAAAATTCAATTTGTCATTAATCCACAAAAATAAATGAATCCACGGTAAGTATTGAAGACTAAGATGATTTTCTTTTCTTGTTTGTTAATTTTTTAGATTTGGAATTTTGTTCTCCCCATCTTTTGCATTTGAATAAGTACTGTAAATTCAGAAATTATTGCGAGGTTTTTATCAATGCGAATAATGCGACTACTTGAGTATCACAATAATAAAAACTCGCATTCTGATATCAAATACATATATCTGTATATAGCGTTTCCTAAAACCAAAATAATTAAAGTCGCATTTTTGTTAATGCTTCAAAAATCGCAATAATAAATGCACGCAATAATTTCTGAATTAAAAGTATCTATGCAATTCTTCTACTCAGTTGACTTACAAGCTCATCTGACCAAACTCGTCCTGTAATTGTAACAGAAGATCAGCAAGGTCGTTGTTAAGACTACCATTACTTGAGCCTGAGGAAGGACTGGAAGATCTGTTGTCACTAAGTTCTGAACACAAAGCCATGTTGTGGGACTTCATTAAAGCTAGAACTCGCTGTACATTACCACCAACAGAATGACTAGGTGTAAGAGACTGAAATCAGAAATATTTAATTAATGCTAGGACTCCCTGTACATTTTTTGCCACAACAGGATCACATGTCAGAAGTGACAGGATAGATAAATTAGTTACAAATAATAGTGGAAAGTAGATTTTTGTAAACAAGAGGTGTATGGGATTGCTAGATCAATTCAATGATTGTTTATGCAATTTTTCTTTCACTTCAAGAACAGAAGTATGCAAGTCAATATAAAAATAAGAAGATGTGGTATGATTGCCAATGAGACAACTCTCCACAAGAGACCAAATGACACAGAAATAAATAACTATAGGTCACAATTTGGCCTTCAACAAAGAGCAAAGCCCTAAATGCATAGTCAGCTATAAAAGGCCCCCAAAATGACAAATGTAAAACAATTCAAACGAAAAACTAACGTCCTAATTTATGTACAAATAATGAATGAAAAACAAATATGTTACACAGCAACAAACGACAACCACTGAATAACAGGCTCCTGGCTTGGGACAGGTACATACAGAATGTGGCAGGGTTAAACTCGGCCAAATCAGACTAGGAAAAAAACATAAGGTAATAACAAAAAGAGAAAATTGCTAAATTGGTCGTATGTTTTGTCTATCGAGCAAATGAAACCATCAGTAAATAAACAACTACTTTGTCAAAAGTTTCCTGTAATTCTGCATCAGTTTACACTTTTCCGAACACACTATCTGTTAATTTGTTGACAAAAATATTGCATACCAAAAATTTAAGAAAGGGATTCTGCAAGACTATAAAACAAAATGCATTATCTATCAAACATGATAGTAAAATTTGCAATAATTTTTAACAGGGGTGTGGAAATATTTGTTGTGAGCACTTGCCCCTGGGCAACTAAAACTGTAAATTTTACTTGTCCGGAAAAAAGTTACTTGCCCTGAAATACCCAATAAATAAAGTATTTTACTGTGAGCTTGTATGATTCTTAACACTGTTTTGAATCACAATATGAATGAAAGTCATTTTGTTTGTGTACAAATAAAAGGAGGTAATGGGTTAACATCAATGAGACAGAAACCCAACAGCAAACAACCATATGAAATGACACCTATAGGACAATTTTGCAGCAGCATTTATTTAAAAATACTAGCCAGTAGGTACATATACTAAATTTCGAGAACAGTGAGTGAAGAAATGAAAACTAAATAATAGATTAACTATTGAATTTTATTTGTTTCTTTCAACTGACATGCTTGGTGTTTTGCTGATAGTTGATGGGCAATCAAAGTGTCCCTTCTTTCTCCCACTTTGCCAACAAATAAGGTTGACTTTTGATCGGCAAGGGTTGGATTTTGTCTACAAATTATACAAAAAATCAATTTATTTTCCATATTTTCTTCCCGAGAGCCAGGGGAAATCTGATATCCACAATGTCTGAAATTCTCACTTCAGTTTTTTTTTTTCACACTCCTTATCCTTCTCAGCCTGTGTTTTACGTTTACTACGTGACTCGTCACTCTTTTTGTCTTGATTGCCCGATGTTTTATTAGTATTCATCCATCTGATTCTTGATACAAAAATCTAAATTAAATGCTTTGCTGAGCGCAACCTAATACAACCACAGAGGTCGAACCCTGAACAGTTGGGGCAAATTTGGACACAATATTCAAGCTTGATACTGTCTGAATTTGGATTGTTATCAAATGTTTGACATAATATAGGTTTCTGACACAAAATAAATGTGGTCAAAGATCTTAAAAATTTATTGCACATTACTGTTTAATTGAAGATTTCTTCTTGGAACTTTTCAAAAAATTTGAAATTTGAAAAATTTTGGAAAATAAATATGAACCCCTTAAAAAATCCCCCCCCGTCCCCCCTCCATTGGAGCAATTACCCCCAAACTCAATCCCAGCCTTCCCTTTGTGGTATGGAACCTTGTAGTACAATTTTAGAGAGATTCATTCACTTGAACACAAGTTATTGTCTGGAAACTAGAAAAATGCTTGATTTTTGCCCATTTTTTTACCCCAATTCCTGCTATGCATGTTTGGGGCAATTACCCTCAAACTCAATCCCAGCTATCCCTTTGTGATATGGAACATTGTGGTACAATTTCAGAGAGATCCATACACTTACCCATAAGTTATTGTCCCGAAACTACAAAAATGCTTGTTTTTGGCCCCTAATTTCTAAATTGTTAGTACTATAACCCCCAAAATCAATCCCAACCTTCCTTTTGTGGTATTGAACATACTTATAAAATTTTATAGAGATCCATTCACTTAAACTAAAGTTTTTGTCCAGAAACCAAATGTGTCTTCGGACGACAACGACATCATAGCATTATATGAACCCAAAAAAATTTTTGCGGTCGAATAATGACACTTGCGTTAAATCATGGACAAAACCTAATAGACGATCCCGGGTCAATTTTTTAAAATTTGAGTTAATATAAGTACTATTGGTTAAAAACTATATACAATGTATCACACTGAATGTTATGGTTGAATTTTTTTTTTCTATGTCTTGTTATTTAAGAGCTGAACAGATTTACTTACAGTGCCAGCTACAAATGGGATTTCTGCTAAGTTGAGTCTATAATGTTTTGTAGGGTCTGAGCAATGTCTTTTGCCTGATTTAGCTACTACTTTCTTTTTCTTCTTAGCTGGTCTCTTTGGTTTTGATTTACTTGAAGGTTCATCTAAATCAGCTTCCATTAAAATTCTATTTGTAGCCGCCATAGTTTCTAACTGAAAAGAGAAAATAAACTGTTGACACAGAGATATGTAGATGGTATAAGCAAATATGGACATTAAAATGTCAATATTTGAACATGTAATATATGCAAAACATTCAAAGTCAATACACCAGGACTTCAAAAGGGGGAGCCAAACAATATCCATGGAAATGAGATGTGCCAAGGCTAATATATCTGCATACCAAATATCAATGATCTACCACTAATAGTTCCCCTTAAACTAACCTAATCAAGAACTAATACATGTAAACTTAGCAAAAGTTTTAAAGTCAATAGACCATGACTGAGGGTGTGGAACAAAATAATCTCCATGAAAATGAAATATCATGGTAGATGCCGCCGCCACCATTGAAAACAGCTTGACTTAGTCTAGATTTTTCAACTAGGTTGACACAAGACAAAAAAAACTGTTTATTCAGAAATTTTGTTTTTATTATTGTGAAAATTACATCATGATAGGCGTTGCAAAAATAAAACTTTGAATTTTTCATTTTGATAGCATTATTTGTATGCAGAACTTCATGAAGTTTCAAATATTAATCTTGCATTATCATGATAATTGTCAATCACAATAATAATTACACATAATAAATTCTTCATTTACCATATATGAAATTTTCACAAATTATTATACTGCATGTGGATTCATTATTTTCATGGGATGCTAAATTTCTTGGGTTTCTGTTAAATGTGAACCACAAATTTAAGTGTGCAATGGAATATAGATTTCCTTTAGACTTGTATGCAGAATTTGTCAAAACCTTGAAATCATATTTTCACTAAAACACATCATCATCTTTCTAGTATTCCCAAATGTTACTTACTAATGTGATCTCTTGGTGTTTAGTTGCTGTCATATTAAGGTCTACTCAACATCATCTTTTAAGTATTACCCAAATGTTACTAACCTCAACAGCTTTTTCTTCTAATAATTTTCTGTGATGTTTTTCTTCTTGTAATTTCTCTTCTAATTCTCTTATTTTGTTCTGCAAAAAACAATTTACACATTAATGACGTGTTTCTTGTACTTTGGTCATCAATAAATTTGAGGTATGCTGGTTGTTTTTTTAAATTTTGTTTCATTTATATGTTGTTGGAGTTAAGTGTGACGTCCATTTTCACTGAACTAGTACACATTTTTGTTTAGGGGCCAGCTGAAGCCTGCCTCCAGGTGCGAGATTTCTCACTGTGTTGAAGACCCATTGTGGCCTTGGGCTGTTTTCTGCTCTTTGGTTGGGTTGTTGTCTCTTTGACACATTCCCTGTTTCCATTCTAAATTTTATTATACTATCGTTCAGTGTTTGTTGTTGGTTCATGTCTGTCGTATTTGTTTTTCGCAAATTGTTTTGTTATAAATTAGGCCGTTAGTTTTCTCAATTGAATTGTGTGTTATTTTTCATGTCAGGGCCTATTATAGCAGACTATAGAGTATGGGTTTGTCTCATTGTTGAAGGCCATTCAGTTGCCTATAATTGCATACATCCACTTTATTTGAATTTTGGTGGATAGTTGTCTCGTTAGCAATCATACTACATCTCCTTATTTCTATATGGGGATTCACTACTGTTTTATGATGCGCTCTTATTTTAAAGAATCTTATAGAAAACAATGAATGTGAATCTTGTAAGCTTGTTAAAAGTATGAAATCAATTGCAAGTAGCTATGAAAATACAATTTTTCCTTAATCCACTTAAATTGGTACCCTTGAAAATAAATGAATACCGGTATATTGATTGATTTGTCATGGATTTTAGCTCCAGATCTAATATGACATATTTAAATTAAGGCCTTTTATCTAAATGGGCTGTTATGAACGTCCTGATATGATTGCCTCATAGAAAGACATGACAGTTCAATTAATAAGTAAAACTACTTTGTTGTGCTAAACACATGAATCATGAATGTGGGGGGAAAGCATGGTAAATAATTTTAATCTATTTTATCAAAAGTACTTTTTTCCTCGTACATATTTAATATATGATCACAGCGTGTTAAAACACAGTTCAAAATTCTTATCTTGTAGATTACAGCCATCGTAATTTCAATGGTATCATTTACACGATTCCATGACGTCTGCCGTCAGACACCTTCCTATCATAACGTTCACAAAGGTATTTAATAAGTTGTACAGTGTAAATCGTCCATTGATATTTAACCCCTTGGATTAGCCCCCTCAATGTTATAACACCTATTATCTAATAAACCTTAAGTCTTGTGTCAACATTCGGTAAAATTTACTATCAAACAGAATTCTTGAATTTCTATAAACAGACCCATATAAAGCTTTCTCAGCAACAACTCAATAATGTTGTTCAAATTTATTAAATTTAAAAATGCATACCACTGACATTTCTTACAATAGAAGTGTATAAATGTTATCAATTTTGCAGAATGGTGCAATTTTTGAACACCTGTAGTTGGGTAAACATCAAAGATTAGCAAACATGCTTTTTATTCTTAAATTGTTTATTTAAATATCTGTTAGCTTAATAAAGACTGTTCAAATGACAAAGAAAAAGGAATGATACATCTACTTTGTAGACACATGATTTTGAAAATCATGGAAGTACTGAAAATCTATCAAATAAATTCTTCAGTTCATTAGCATGTAAGAAATCAGTATTTTGAATTAAAAATATTTACTTTAGACCTTCAAACTACTTCCATATAAGGAAAAGCAGTCAAAGTTACAATGTACTAATGATCTGAATATTTTCTCATTAGGGCTGTTCCAAAATTGATCATGGTGGGGGGGGCGGGGGGGGATGGGAAGAACTCAAATTAATTAATTGTTGGTAGTTGCAAGAAATAGAAGTAAAATGATAATTTTATAAAATTGATGGTTCCTGCCCCCTAAATATTTAATTCTGGAACAGCCCTTGAGAAAAAAAACTTTCATGACATGTGTTTTATGTTTCAGTAGATATAAATTCTCATCACCCGTATACCAAGCATCAGAGAGGTGTATAATACTGACAAGTATGATATCTGCCATGTTAAAATGAGAATAGGACATAACATGAAAGAATTATTTCTGTATGAATTCCCTTTTAGAGGATGTATAGATATGCATAAGGCTGATATCCAGTCTATTTCTAAATAAAATATGTTTAATTTTATGTATTTGATTTTACTAGTAAGATCTTTTTTTTTCATTTAGATCAAAGCAATATTCAAATAGCTGAGTAATTTTGTACTATTCCCTCCCCCCCACCCCACCCCACCCCACCCCCACTAATTGTGAATGTACATGGAACTAATATTCCTGTCCATTTCTTTTATTTATATGAAAAAAAATTATAACTTTACACTGAATGTACCAGGATTCATCAGTCACACTAACTAATAATACTTTAACCAGTTTTAACATGTTTTGTTAAACTTTTTCATAAATCTTATCTAGATTTCATATTTTCTACCCAATAAAAAGAAACCAGACTCCTATTGCATTTTAAGTAAAACATCACTAACATTAAATTTTATGAAAGACTTTAGTACGGAATTTCAGTAATTTTAAAAGAAAGAACCTGTATTAAAATTAACATTTGCTTTTATCTTGCTGGCAAAGAGAGATTACTGATACCGTACCTTTTAAACAGTAAATACTGTTAAAAAATACAGGAACTGAAGAACTTTTATTGAAAAGTTATTAGCGAGGATGATATTTAAATCACTTTTTCATGTCAGATTTACAACCTATTTATAAAAGATATACCATAAATTATAGCTAATTAAATTTTTGAATTGAAAATTAAAAGCAATCAATCAAGCAATATAAACGTATAAATCACCAGAATTTTTAATAAATGCTTCTTTCTACATACTATTATAAAAATTATTTAAGTTTTTGTTGACTAGGGCTATAATAATACCTTCATTTAAACTATTAGATAAAATATTTACTTAAGTGAATAGTCAACATTTTGATTTGGAGTGGTTTAAAACTGTTTACTTTATTCTGAAGTTGTATATTCATTGTGGTCAATGTAGTACCCGTATAGTTGTCAATCTACGAAAAATAAAATATTAACCGAAATTTTTTTCACTTTTAAAAATTTAAATTTGATGGTATTCACAATGATTTTAAATAAATATTAAATGTGGATAAATTTTTAGTCTAGTTCTGAATTGTTTGCAAAAGGTTTAACATTAGTCTTTGAACTTAATGACCAATCATATCTAAATAATGGCTGTCCCCGCAATCAATTTTTTCAAGTTATCATACAACATATGAAACACTGTCTCCCCCCCTTTTTTAATCAATGAAAGTTCCTTAACTCCAAAACTACAACCATGATAATCACCAAAATCAAAGAGGATTCAGTATATGTTAAAATTTCACGACAATCAGTCAAAGCAAACTTAGTTTTTGTAAGGAATGTTGGGGATACACATACTTTTCAATTGGAGTCACATAAACTCTAGATCTGCAACAGAAATAAGGAAAATGGGAAAACTAAGTACCACTTTATCAGAAAATTATCAAAATATGAAAGAATGTGTAAAAATTACATGAAAATTAGTCAGAGAAAATTCTACTTTTTGTTAAGAGTTGTGAACAGGCCTAAGGGATAGACAATGACTTGTATACCATATTAATCCTATCAAAGTTCATCTTCGCTAACCAAGGGTTACGATCCAGTCCCTTCCTCTGTGTAAAAATGGTTGTGTCTAGTGTTTTTACAAATTTCGTGAAGCAGGAACCGAAAATATACGTCGAAATTCCAACATTTGCGCAAGAAACATACCCAGGAACTAGAATTAGCTGATTAAGAACTTTAAAATTTGTCACTATATATTGTCCTATGTTTTTGGGGTAAAGACTTGTTGCATAATCAGCACGTGGCAATTGTTTATTTACTTTTTTTACATTTACACATGATCATCTTAAAGGCACTTTTTGATTGGATGAAGCCAGTTTCAATTGTAACCAGTGAAAATCGTTCCCTCATGGATCCCAATTTCTATCTTAATCCGCCAAGGGTGGAGAAGGGACTGGATTGTAACCCTTGGCTAGTGAAGTTGATCAAAGATTGGCATATAATACTCAAATAATGTAAGGGAAATTTCCTTTTGTACATAATATATATGCAGAAAACACAAAAATCAAATCTTAGTATTGTTTCAAACTATAAATCCAAATTTTCTTATTTTCCATTTTTCTATCCTTAAAAACATTTTTTTTTTATGGCCTGACAAACAGCGTTTTTTTTTTTATTCTCTTAACATAAAGGGCACCAAAGAATTTTAAAGTTAATACTGTCAGTTTCACAATTTATAGTTTTATATCCTGTAATTCCAGTCTCCACCCTAACCTGTTGAGTTAAATACCGTTACTTGTCGCGGCACATAGATTCACTCAACTTGTCATAATTAGAATTAAACTGATATTTAACCTGACGGCTCAGTTTACAGATTCTCCAGTTACAAAGCCATTATACTTTTAATTATACCTGATCCGATAACAATTAAACTACTTTTACTATTAAAACTATATGTATATGTCAATCTGCTTGGTAAATTTACAACTGAAATGCTCCGATCATGTACACATTTTCTAGCAATTAATTAGACATATTTAGATATAAATAAGAGCTATTGCAATGTCAAATAAATTGCGGTAAAATTTATCAATAAAGTTATACCGTTTACATGTCTGGTGCAAGCAATTATGACTTAAAATTTTTTTAATTCTTTAGAAAACTTGTAACAGTACTCTATTCCAGATGACCAGATGCCAGAAAATATGTCGATGGTTAAAGTGTTTCTGCTTTAAATTAATTTATATCATCATGAACTGAGAATCATAATGTATGGAAAATTATTTATATTAAATGACCAATTACCCTTGATAAGATCTTTCAAATTACCTCGTTTGACAAATCAAATCTTTATGTTGCTTGGATGATATTACCATCGATGATATTGAATACGACAAACATTTATCAAGACTCATAATAGATTTTCGTTGCTTTTTTTTTACTTTTCAAAATTGAAATTTAAAGGTATTTACATTCATATTAAATCATAAATACTATACATAAATCAAAAGATGACAAAAACCATTTCTACCTGTCAAAATATTACATAATGGATTTATAACTGAACTTAGATTTGAAAGAATGCCAGCACAAAATACTACTCATAAATACGACTTTAGTTCAGTGCTTCACCCTATACAAAATAAGAAAGATGTGGTAAGATGGCCAGCGAGAAAACTATCAACCAGAGACAAAATGATGTAGAGATTTCAAGATAATTGAGTGTATTTCAAACAGGAGGGTTTTTCTAATCTAATCAAAGAGCAACAGCCCTGAGATGAGATTAAGCTGAGAAACATTCCAGAGTTTGAAAGACCATAGATAATTTGTTTATCTCTGTTTTTTAGGCAACCTCAATGATATAGGCTCATGGTGTCATACGACTGAAAAAAACTCAATTAGCGTGATATGAAAATTTTTCACAGTATAAGATCAAAGCCAAATTTAAGTAAATAGCGATAATAGCAACGATAGGTAATGGTACTGCCTCATATACATGCATGTATATTACCGATTGTTGTGTTTTGTCATCCTATCCTCCCTACTTTGGCTAGTCCCCCTCATTTCCACATATTAAACCTCATATGACATATGTATGATGTCAAAATATTATATACACAAGCCTAATTTATTTCATCATGGTATTATATGTTCAGTTCTTCTAATAAATGCAAAGATGTTCGAATTGTTTTACACTAGTCATTTTGGACCACTTTATAACTTGCTGTTCAGCGTGAGCCAAGGCTCTGTGTTGAAGGCCGTACTTTTACCTATAATTGTTTACTTTTTACACATTGTGACTTGGATGGAGAGTTGTATGTCTACTTCATAGGGTGTGCACAGGGAATAATCTAGATGTCATGATTGCTCTGTGCCCACTCTTACCAAAGATGTGTTGTCATGACAAAACTGAACTGATCAAATTGTAAAGCTATATGCATGTGTGTCAGATGAATCTTCATTAACTAAAGAGAAAATAATTTAGCTATACTGAGTTACACAAGAACAAATAACCTCAATTTTCAGACCTCAACATGCTTTAATTTGATGTTGAAAAATGTTTTGCTGTTAGTTCATTAACAAATGATGAATAAGATCTGTCTCATAGTAGCACATTAAGGGACAAAAAATAAGCTGAGTATATTGTAAAAATAGTAGAAGCTACAAAACTGACAACAAAAATATTTTTGTAATGTTTTGAAGAATTTTCATAAGGATTCATAATCTTTTTTTTATTCATAAACATGATGTTTAAGCATGGTCTTGGTAAAACCTGTTTGAACTTCTTTCTTTTTCTTAAAAACTCTTTGATTTCATATTATAAGCAATATAATGGCCTTCATCATATTGACGTCAAAATGATAGTATCCAAATTTCTGACCAAACCATCATTACTTAGGAGTTAACCATTTGATCTTTGACTGCTAAGAGAATGAAAATATTGGTTGTGCATTTCTTGTGTTGTTCAGTATATTTTTTGTATCTTTACCTCTGATAATGTTTGAGTTGCAGTCAGTTTTAAATGTTCTCGTTCTAAGTCAGAAATTTTATGATCATGATCTTTCAATTCCGTGGAGGAGAGACCATATCTGTCTTTTGTTTTCATCAAGGCATTGGTTACCATGGCATCCTGTCGATCCGATTCAGCATTCTGTACCATTTTTCTCATGTAATCCAATTGCTTTTCCAGTAGCTGACTTCTAGTCTCAGCAGACGACAGTTGTGATTCAAGCTCTAATGAATATTCAAACATGCAAATTAGTAAATCTTTATGAATGAACATCAATTGATTATATTGGTTACTCGACAAAAGTTCAAAGTTTATGTTATTAGCTTTAAGTATCATGTTACTGAAAAACAAACTGAATGACCAAATGAAAAGAAGACACACAAAATCATTAAATTATTCATCAAATCCATTAAATTTAGTACAAAATCAATTAATGACAAATTTACCCCACAAAATTAAATATATAACGATCAATTTCACTCATTATTGCTTGGTTGGATAATATTATTAAAAATTAAAAACACAAATGAAAAGCTTCAGTAAATAACAAAATATAATATCATTCTTTCTTTGAAATTGTGCAATTGCTATGGAGATTGCATAAAATATTAAAATATTACGCCTTTGTTGAACATTATATATTAAAAGTTTCTATAAAAGTTAATTTACTATCTATATGTGAACATCTCAAATAGCCTATATACAAATCAAATCTAGCTACACTATGGAATGGGTTGAATACTGAACTCATTTGAGTGTAAAGTTGAATTTGACAAAACATAGGTTTTAAAATTTCAATGAAATTTAAAACATTATGAAATGCTTGCAATATAAAGACATAAAACCACAAATGAAAATTTTTAATGACATATTGGTTGGTTCTGAGGGTCTAAAGAAACAAACAAGATGTTTTAAGAAAATTCAATTGCTGACCTGCAATCATCCAGTGTAAGTTTAAATAAATGACCTATGGATCATTCAATCAAAACTTTGACTTTCAAGAACTGATACATCTCCAAAAGTGATGTCTTTTAAAGTAATTTCTTTTATAATATATCAACTATTCCATTCCCTTATTCAGTGAACCATGAAATCTGAGTCCAAAACCTTAATATTACATACATTTTGAAAAATTGATAAAAAAGAATATGCATTTCACTTTGATGTGACTTCATGGTAAACATCATCAAACCAAAACTAGTATACATATTTGTTTAGGGGCCAGCTGAAGGACGCCTCCGGGTGCGGGAGTTTCTCGCTGCATTGAAGACCCATTGGTGGCCTTCGGCTGTTGTCTGCTCTATGGTCAGGTTGTTGTCTCTTTGACACATTCCCCATTTCCATTCTCAATTTTATCATCAAACCAAAACTTTAACCTGATACGGGATGGACTAACTGATGTACGGTCGCACTGAGAGGAAACCATAAAGCTCCCTACTATCGTAGGTAGGGCTTAAAAAATATATATCACTTTACAAAGCCCAACCTAACTCACTTCAAGGCATATACAAAATAAGTGTATAATTACTAATTATACTTAAAATAAAATTAGCTCAATTAATCTGCATGGGTAGCTGAAAGTTGAGAAGATTGATTGACTGATTGATTGGTGTTTAACGCCACTTTCAGCACTATTGGTTATTTCGTGATAGTCAGTTTTATTTGTGGAGGAAGCTGGAGTGCCTGAGAGAACCATGACCTTCGACAGGAAAACTGTCAATCAGGATTGGAGTCAAAAGCACCTGCCATGGTGAGGTTTGAACTCACAACCTCAGTGTTGACAGGCTAGTGATGGAGAAGTTAAACTGCTTAGACCTATCCACCACTGAGGACCCGAAAGCAGAGAAAAGAAAGTTATTACAAAAATGTTAGGCAACCTAAAAAAAGTTTAATGGAAGAATGGTAGAAGATATCAAGAGGCAATCAAACTATAGCGAAGAAAAACTGACATTTTAATTTCAGAAAGCAATAAACTGCTTCGCCGAGCGCAGCTGTATACGACCGCAGAGGTCCAACCCTGAACAGTTGGGGCAAAAATGAACACAATATTCAAGCTTGATACAGGTCTGAATTTGGATTGTAATTAAATATTTGACACATTATAGGTTTCTGACACATAATAAATGTAGTCAAAGAACTTGAAATTGGTTGTATGATTTGAATTTATATTCAATTGAAGATTTCTTGCTGTTGTGCAAAACACTGTGCTGTTTGTGCAATACTTAGTAAATCTGTTTTCAGACTATATACAAAGAATGAGCAAAATAAATTGTGACCCCCAATTTTTTCTTTGGAAAATTGACAATTTCTTAAATCTTGAGGAAAAATAATTTGACCCCCCTACACAAATTTTTTTTTACCCGCCTCCCTCCAAAAAAATATATTATTTGAAGAGAATTTTCTTTGGAGGAAAAAAATTACCCCCCCCCCCCCAAAAAAAAAAAAATTGTTCCCTCCACCCCTCCTTTTTCCAAAAAAATTAATTTTGAAGAAATTTTTCTTTTTGTAAAATGTGGTACAAATTAAGAGTTATTGTCTAAAAACTATAAAAATGCTTGTTTAAGACCCTTTTTGGCCCCTAATTCCTTAACGGTTTGGGCAATTACCCCCAAAATGAATCCCAACCTTCTACTTGTGGTATTGAAACTTGTGGTACAATTTCAGAGCAATCAAAATACTTATACACAAGTTATTGTCCTGAAACTAGAAAAATGATTGTTTTGGCCCCTAATTCCTATTCCGTTGGGACCATCACCCCATCACCCCAAAAACAATCCCAACCTTCCTATTGTGGAATTGAATCTTTTATTCAATTTCATAGAGATCCATACACTTAAACTAAAGTTATTGTCCGGAAACCAAATGTCTTCGGACGATGCAGACGACGACAATGTGATACCAATATATGACTGCAAAACTTTTTTGCGGTCGTATAAAAAGACCAACAGAAATACAAAAGACCACAAAACACTACCCACAAAACTAAAGTATAAGTAACATAGAAGCAGTTTAACTCTTGCAAGGTCAGCAATTCCTGTGACAACCTCACTTAAGACAAACATATAATCTGTGTCGGATAGAAATTGATCTTATGCAAGTATATTACGTATACATGTACCTGTATAATACTTTGATTGATTTTGGAACATTATCTAAATACAAAATAAAAGATGAATTTTGGTCTGTTTTGTAAGGTTCTTATAACAACTTAATTTTCAAACAGTTACTGACTTTCCGTGGAGAATCTTTCAACCTGAAATAGTTTATAGATGTATTGCTATTCATTTGCATAATGTCCATTTCTATCCGACACAGTTATGTGTCACTCAAACAAAACTCATATTTGGTTCCAATCAGAATATAATTGGTCTCAAAAGAAAATGTTACTGTGGATTCATTTTTATTCGTGGTATACCAATTTTCGTGGGTTTCGTGGGTCACAGCGAACCACGAATTTAAGAATTCAACGAAAAATGTGTTTGGAGTCAGATGTTTATTTCCGGTTATGTTATGCAGTTCTTGTATAGTGTTGACTAGCGATAAACTTTGCAACATAACACGTGTTTCTATTGAAAGAAGATAAAAGTATTTTGATTAAATAAATAATAAAAAAAAACGAATATTAGTGATAAACTACTTTTTAAAATTGATTAAAACTGTTCATGGAAAATAACTAGAAGTTGTTAATTACCGTGTCATAGTTTGGATTACTGGTGATTAAAAATCAATAGGATTAAGTATGGGGATATTGCCCGTAGGTAATATTGTTTATGACAGGAACGTTTATTTTCACACCTTTTTCTTATATGACTGTTTATTATACCGTGATTAGGGAAGTAAGCTTTCAATCATATATCAATCATAGAGATTTGAATGCCTCATAAAATTACCGACAAAAATTTATAAATTGTAAAACAAACATATAATTAGTTGTCTCTGTCCACGATTTTAATCGAAGTTTTCAATGAACACTTTAACCTTGAATGACCAAGCGAGGATTTTGACAATTTAAACTTTTTCAATGAATTCCTTCTTTTTTGTTTTATTATTGATCAAACCAAGGATGTTATATGACATCCTAAATCAACCAGAAATTCACGAATTACGTATCTGAATTTATCTTTTTTTATCAATCAGCGATCCACGAATTTACGTTTACCACGAAACGTCTTTTTTTCTCTATCCACGAAAATTGATACCCACGAAAATAAATGAATCCACATATATATATATTTGTAGGTAAAGGGAAAAGACTTGGTTGCATATATATAGACCATTTCTATTTGGGTAAATACACAAAAAAAAGTTTATCTCTAAAAAAACAGGCCCTCAAGTTTTGTCTGATTAGAAAACAAAAGGTTTTTCAAATATTTAACTCAGAATGACCTAAAAAAAACCAACCTTTCTACAAAAAAGGCTATAAATGTCAAGAAAGATCAAACAATAAGCCTTTCAAATTGTAAGCTAACAATAATATATGACATTGCATATTTATACACGATTTAAGTGGTGTATTGAAGTGAAATATTTACACAAATGTTTTAAAGGTCTGTTGCTGTATTACTTTATCAAGTGGCCATTATCTATTTTCCAAGAGACAGTAAAAATCCACTCCAAAAAAAACTTACAACTGATCGTAAAAGCTCTTGTATGAATCTGACTAAAAAGCTGTTACCAGGTTAAACATAATGGTGACACTTGCATATATGAAGTTGTTACTAAGTTAAGACAGATGATCTCTGGACAAGATTCTCAAGACACTTTAATCTGAAGCTAACAACTACATGTTTGTTACATAAATTATATTATCGCTATTTTACATAACTTTCCTTTGATCTTGCTGACTGATAATTTCCTTTCTCAGCGGAGTCCAGTGATATGGAAAATTATCGCTAGAAACTAAGGAAACACGTGCTGTTGTCAATGAAATGAACAACATTGTCATAGGTAAAATAGCGATAAACAGATTATCATTGGTCATCTCAACTCGATTGCTTTTTTCAGTTTCGCCGTATTGGCTCAAGCGAGAAAATCAATCTCGTTGAGATAACCAACGATAATCTATAATTCCTATAACCAGTATAAAAAAAAATTCTTGTGTTCAGATTTATATCTGATCTTTAGAATTCAAAATTGGGAGAGAAAAAAACAGAAACTGTCATGATAGCATAGAGTGGATTCATTTATTGTTGTGGTTACATTGAAAAAGTGTATTCTCATGGCTACATAATTTTCTGGTAATAAAAATATTATGCATGCAAACCTATAGTAGTTATGTACTTTGTTGAACACTTTAATTTAAGGTTCACCTATACCCATTAATACCATCCACACCCTCCCAATTCATTTTTAAGCATAGCTAATAGCAAACACCTATAGCTAACTTACATATACATGTCCTTGTCATTCAGAACTTTAAATATTAAATAGCATCAATGGAGGATTTTATCAATTCAGTTCATAGATCAACCATAAAGTGATGCCGCAAAAATATCCAATAAGATTATGTGTATCAACATTGCATAAAATCAATTTCCTCCTAATTCATTGGGACAACTCTACAAAATCAAATGTTATTCACACTGAAATCTCTCATATAAAATGCAGAGGGAGAGAAGGACACTGCTTTGTAATAAATTGTAAGCTGCTACTGGATAAATCTAGCAGTCACAAAAACCAGTACATACTGTTCCTGTATATAACTGTTAAATAAAAATATATATGTTTAGAGTTTGGGTATAATGAACAATCTACTGAGCAGATCTAGCATATATACAAGAGGCAGTAAAAGCTAGCTATAGGGAAGAGGGATTAACTAAGCAAGGTGGACGATTGACTGCAAGAAAAAATAGATAGTTTGCTGTTTTAAAAACAAAATGTTTTAAATCAAATAATTTTTCTAATTTCTCCAACTGCAACAAGTTCAGTTCCAGGAAAAAAGTCATGATTTCGAAGAAAAAAAAAAAGAAAGAAATATACTGAACACATCTTTCTCCAGCTTTGGAGTATAATTAATGACCACAATGCAAAAAAAGTTAACAGTGCAGAAAAATGTGGCTAAAAATAAAAATGGAAAGTGGTTAAATGTGTGACTGTTAGGGCTGGCAGACTATATATGTGTACACAAAGCTACGGCCAATACCTCGTGACTGGGACAACATTTTCCTGGCATCTTCCTTCACATCGGGATGTGAATTTAATGAATAGCGAGTAGAAAGAGAGGTCACTTCTCCATCTCTGTCCTGTGAAAAAGAAGGTTGACTTTTCGGAGAAATCCTGCCATTTTCTTGATGTAAATTTAATGTAACATGATTTGATGATAAGGGGAGGTCACTCTCCCTACCTTGTGTATTTTTAGACACAGTTGACTGACGGGGCTCTTCAATATCTCTGTCTCTTTGCAAAATGTCTCTGTATTTATTTGTTTCTATCGCCAAACTTTTCAGATTGTCCTCGGCAGCTCCTCGTTCTAGCTCCAACTTTCTGATCTTGTCTTGAAGATTCTTTAGGGCTGATATTACCGCTGAAAAAAAACGACAATATTAAAATCGTGACATATTTTCTAAAAAAAAATTGCATTAAAGTGGTGTTAGTTGTATTAACTTAAATATTTAGTGGTCAATAAACATGATAAATGATAATGAATTTCATAACCAGCATTTTTAAGATGGAAAAATGTTTTCACTTATGATATTTCCAATACATGCCATACATGGGATACACAAGTAAACATACCAAGCTGCTGCTAGCTGATAATACAATTGATTAGTGTAAAAAATTGTAATAACAAATATAAAGAACTTTAAGGTAAATTCAAAAAGGGGAATCCATAAAACCTAACAAAACCATATGCTTGTGAGCCATATTTATTCATCTACTAACATGGCTAATATAAACATGAAAAATACTCACAGAACAAACAAAAATAAAAATATATGAAGTCTGCCATGCTGCGTAAATAAAAATTTGGAGAACCTAATAAACATGATAAATCGCCAAATGTATCTATATTGTTCATGCTGTTGAAGACCATATATATTGACCTCTAGAAGTCTGATTTTTTTATGTTGGAGAGTTTGCTGTATCATTGATGTATATCACTTTTAAGGATGTTTGCTCCTCTTGTTTTTGAATTTTTGCCAGATTTTCGGAATCCTCTGATTTTATCCATGTTTAGCAATTAAAAATTTGTCCACTAACCCCTACTTTTCTTTTCAAATTTTTTTACATATAGTTTTAAAAGCCTTTTTTGAATAACTTACAAAAATCTTGTTATTATTTCATAGTTTTTAAAAGAGAAAAGCAGACAATGTTAAAAGTATGAAAAATCTAGAGAGAATAATTTCACGCCAAATTTTCAGTGTCTTATATCTCGAAAATAAGCACACTGACCCTTCATTTTTTTCTGCTTTTTTAGTTCTTTTATAATTATTTATATACTATCATTTTATAACAGTCTTTTAAAAGGCTTGTTATTCTGAAACAGAGTAGCGAACATCCTTAAGTAAGTACAAAACTGTATGGACTGCAACCTGAAAATGGCAAGACACACAGACAGAATGCCTCATTTTCAGGGTGGTCATAAAATATTACAGGGTCCCAACAATATAATTATTTGAAAATAAATATCAGAGTAGCTAATGGCTGTGAAATAATATAATACCCACTTAACACAATCCTCTTATACCCATTTGTTAAAGGCATTTATACATTTAAACTTTTCGATAAGCTGTGATTTGTATTCATGTGAAATATGAATATTAAATCATTACATAACCTCTTTAACTGCATGATTTGTTTTTTTATTAATTTGAATTAATTTGAATTAAAATACTGGATAACAGTTAAATGTTGAAGACAAATATCAAGGAAGTCTTAATGACACTTTTCAATAAAAGAAGCACTTTTACAACTACAATGTTCATAACTTTAGTTTTACTATAAATTTTAGCCACTATAGGATCAGACTTTAGTATGGAACTAGCCACTATCATGACTATAGTGCTCTATTATAGAACCAACTCCCCCTTAGGTCATGCTTAATATGGAAATCAATGCGCAAGGAAAGAAGATTGTAGCCGTGCTCCTAAATCCAGGTACCCTTGCATGAACATCAGCTAAGAGATTTCTAAATTGTTAAGATAAGATCATTAATAAGCTTTTAAGCGTTATGACTTTTTTAAACATTGAGATGAACTTGTGTGACAATTTCGTTGTTTTTTGCCATGGCGTCATCAGTTTCTCTTCCGACTAATGTGTTTTGAATGTCCCTCTCTTTTTTACATTTCCATAAAGCTTTAAGTAACAGTTATGAGATTGATTGATTGATTACTTCTTAACATCTTATCAATCAATCTATGCTTCATCAAGGACAAAGCAATGACGAATTAATAGCATGCAAAATAAAGTGTTAGTGTTCCATACATGAGGAAGTAAAATTAAACCCAAAAACCAATTTAAAATTCAATCTACTAACTTTCTATTGTAAAAATGGCTTGAGGACAAGGCAAAGGAAAACATAACACTCAGCACAAAAAGGGACATTATTTAGGTTTTCTCTGAACGTTGGATACTGGTAAGACTTCTCTTTAGAGGGACAATATTTAGGTTTTCTCTGAACGTTGGATACTGGTAAGACTTCTTTTTAGAGGGACAATATTTAGGTTTTCTCTGAACGTTGGATACTGGTAAGACTTCTTTTTAGAGGGACAATATTTAGGTTTTCTCTGAACGTTGGATACTGGTAAGACTTCTTTTTAGAGGGACAATATTTAGGTTTTCTCTGAACGTTGGATACAGGTAAGACTTCTTTTTAGAGGGACAATATTTAGGTTTTCTCTGAACGTTGGATACAGGTAAGACTTCTTTTTAGAGGGACAATATTTAGGTTTTCTCTGAACGTTGGATACTGGTAAGACTTCTTTTTAGAGGGACAATATTTAGGTTTTCTCTGAACGTTGGATACTGGTAAGACTTCTCTTTAGAGGGACAATATTTAGGTTTTCTCTGAATGTTGGATACTGGTAAGACTTCTTTTTAGAGGGACAATATTTAGGTTTTCTCTGAACGCTGGATACTGGTAAGACTTCTTTTTAGAGGGACAATATTTAGGTTTTCTCTGAACGTTGGATACTGGTAAGACTTCTTTTTAGAGGGACAATATTTAGGTTTTCTCTGAACGCTGGATACTGGTAAGACTTCTTTTTAGAGGGACAATATTTAGGTTTTCTCTGAACGTTGGATACTGGTAAGACTTCTTTTTAGAGGGACAATATTTAGGTTTTCTCTGAACGTTGGATACTGGTAAGACTTCTTTTTAGAGGGACAATATTTAGGTTTTCTCTGAACGCTGGATACTGGTAAGACTTCTTTTTAGAGGGACAATATTTAGGTTTTCTCTGAACGCTGGATACTGGTAAGACTTCTTTTTAGAGGGACAATATTTAGGTTTTCTCTGAACGCTGGATACTGGTAAGACTTCTTTTTAGAGGGACAATATTTAGGTTTTCTCTGAACGCTGGATACTGGTAAGACTTCTTTTTAGAGGGACAATATTTAGGTTTTCTCTGAACGCTGGATACTGGTAAGACTTCTTTTTAGAGGGACAATATTTAGGTTTTCTCTGAACGTTGGATACTGGTAAGACTTCTTTTTAGAGGGACAATATTTAGGTTTTCTCTGAACGTTGGATACTGGTAAGACTTCTTTTTAGAGGGACAATATTTAGGTTTTCTCTGAACGTTGGATACTGGTAAGACTTCTTTTTAGAGGGACAATATTTAGGTTTTCTCTGAACGTTGGATACTGGTAAGACTTCTTTTTAGAGGGACAATATTTAGGTTTTCTCTGAACGTTGGATACTGGTAAGACTTCTTTTTAGAGGGACAATATTTAGGTTTTCTCTGAACGTTGGATACTGGTAAGACTTCTTTTTAGAGGGATAATATTTAGGTTTTCTCTGAACGTTGGATACTGGTAAGACTTCTTTTTAGAGGGACAATATTTAGGTTTTCTCTGAACGTTGGATACTGGTAAGACTTCTTTTTAGAGGGACAATATTTAGGTTTTCTCTGAACGATGGATACTGGTAAGACTTCTTTTTAGAGGGACAATATTTAGGTTTTCTCTGAACGTTGGATACTGGTAAGACTTCTTTTTAGAGGGACAATATTTAGGTTTTCTCTGAACGTTGGATACTGGTAAGACTTCTTTTTAGAGGGACAATATTTAGGTTTTCTCTGAACGTTGGATACTGGTAAGACTTCTTTTTAGAGGGACAATATTTAGGTTTTCTCTGAACGTTGGATACTGGTAAGACTTCTTTTTAGAGGGACAATATTTAGGTTTTCTCTGAACGCTGGATACTGGTAAGACTTCTTTTTAGAGGGACAATATTTAGGTTTTCTCTGAACGTTGGATACTGGTAAGATCTTCGTTTTAGAGGGACAAATCAAATAATGTGAAAATATCTAGGAATTTTCTCAAAAATATTGGGGTCAAAATTCACGCATGACTTACCTGTTCTGTTATAGCATTTCTTTCGGGCTTCAAAACAAATCCAACATTTATGCTTAAGTAAGGCTTTATATAGAGAATATCATATGGCTTTTTCAATATCACACCTGTATCAACCCGAGACACCAATATAATCACAAGAGCTCTGCTCGAGGGATTATATTGGTTGAGGGTTATTATTGATAATAATAATAAATATCTTTTATAATACATTTTTCTTAATTAATTTTAATTAATTTCATTATACATTATATCGTGTTATAGATATGATATATTGCATAAACAGAGGTTGAGATGACTCTCTCCTTCATATCATCCTAAATTCTAATGCAACATTGTTTGTAACGTTCATTTTGATTGGATAACGCCACCAATTTTCATGGCATCAATTCACAATTGATGCTATGAAAACGTATGCGCAAGCACAGACAACGTATCACAGATTTTAAATGTATGATTTGACGTTGTTTTCCGTCAGTATCATTAGAATGGAGAAAAAGTGTCACCAGTAAACTTAATTTGTGACCATCAAATCACCAATGAATGCCGTTGGAGCTTAAAATACGATACAGTTATCTCCTAATTCTCATGCTTAAAATTAAACCCAAACCCTGTAACAAAAAAATGCAGGTGCTTTGTTTACAAAAGCATAGCATTTAAAGAACAAAAAGCCATACAGAAAAAGTATACAATACAAAACTTTGTAAACAATATTTAATTACCTGTCCTATTATTCTCAGGGTATGCTTTTGTTGGTTTAGTTTGTCTGTAATCATCATTGATAAATGGCTTGTTTGGGTATTCATGGTACTGTGTGTTGTCGTGGTTCAAGGTAAAACTCTCATCTTGGTTCCTATACAGAGGTCGTTTTGCAGGACTCCGCAGTGATCCCATATGAGGTGAAAATGTCTACAGAAATAAATGAATGAAATAAATATATATTATTAAGGAAAATGAAGCTATCACCTGATATATGAAATTCCACTTAAAAGTATCCTGACCTTTAACCCTTGTTCTGTCATAGTTTGATTTTCTGTATAATATGCCAATACTTTGACTTTTTTTTTTTAATTTTGGGGACCCAGCATTTCAGGACTAGGGATCTATTTATAATTATGACTAAAGGGTGAACAGAGATATAGGTATATGTCAATAAGGCAGATGTATTGTAGACTCATTCTGACTTATGGTGAGTAAGACTTTAGGTTACTATTTAAAAGGATATAAAAAAAGAAGATGTGGTATGATTGCCAATGAGACAACTCTTCACAAGAGACCAAATGACACAGAAATTAACAACTATAGGTCACCGTCAACCTTCAACAAAGAGCAAAGCCCAGACCGCACAGTCAGCTATAAAAGGCCCCGAAATGACCATGTAAAACAATTCAAACGAGAAAACGAACGGCCTAAATTATGTACAAAATATGAACGAAAAACAAATATGTAACACATAAACAAACGACAACCACTGAATTACAGGCTCCTGACTTGGGACAGGCACATACATACAGAATGTGGAGGGGTTAAACATGTTGGTTATAGGGGCCTGTAACAAAACAGCCCATTTTTGGTCAAGGTAATAGGAAGTAACAAGGCTTCAATTCAGTTTCATAGTTATGCATGGCAGAAAAATTAGCACTTAAATTTTTTTTTTACATGATCATAGATATATATCCAGTTTTTACTTGATAAAGGAATTGTTATCTTAAAATATATTGAAATTAATGGGATCATTCAGCAAAGTCTATCACATAAATTTAAGAGCTTGATGTCACATCACATTTGCTTTCAAAATAATAAATAATTTAAACAAGTACATGTATATTCTGCAAAATCTATTGCATAATTTTTGAGAGCTTGATGTCACATGACATTTGCTTTCAAATTGTTAATATTTCTTAAACAAGTACATGTATATATGCAAATGATGTGGTATACATGCAGAAAAATCCTAAACTAAAATTTATTAAATTCCAGTCAAAATAAAACTTAGAAAATGACCAGGTTGCCACCAGAAAAAGGATATAAACTTCCATTTAATTACACATTTTCTAACATTTAGGCGAAAGCAGAGAAAATCTTTTCACATGATAATATACATGATATATATAGATCTATATGAAAATAAATTCCAATGTTAAAGTGTAACTTACACAATGCATTGTCCTGGTGCAAATTTCAAAAGCTAAAAATACCTTTAAATCAATTACTTGCATGAATTAAGAACCATTTAATTAATAATAATAAATATTCATAATTTTAGCATGTAAAGCATGTAAAGTGCAAGCACATTTTAGAAATTTCAAGTAAAAAATAAACAATTTAATGTCATAAAAAGAACACAAAAAAAGACATAATTTTCAAAATACCAAGAACAATAATAATATAGCTTTCAATAAAAATAAAATGCCTATACCTTAATCATTTTTGTATAAAATCCACTAAAACAACATGTATATATTCAACTTATGCCTCCCAATCTATTAAATGCAATTGAACATTGTTGAACTGGGTAGTATAGCATGAATACTACATTATAATATAAACATGTTTACACTTGTATGTTTTACCTGTCAATCAGGTGTACAATCCAATACTCTTACTGTTTTAAATCACTTTCTCCTTTCAAATACCAATTATGTAAATGAGTAACCAAATATAGGCTGTGTACTCAGTAATTAACTGGGGAATTCTTAGGTAACATGATTAAATTTGCAAATATTGTTTGAAAATCTTTGTGATAATTAATTTTTTATCTATATATCAAGAAAGTAATTAGTAAATGTTGTAGATAATACATTTTTTTAATTCTCTATTTCATTCTGTGAAATTTATTAAGAAAACAAATAAAGAAACAATTGTACAGCAATGCAAGACAAAGATTGGAAAACAAGTGACAAGTCATTTATACAAATTATACCTTCATGATCTTGTTTCATGCACTCCTTTAAAAAATGTTTTTTTTTTCTTATATATGTGAAAAAAAGAAGTGAAAATTTAATCTCAGGTGCATGTAAGGGCTTCTATTGTTTTAATGTGTATACAAAATCGTAGTTCCTGTGTGGTGTGTTCATTTTTTTTTCTCTTGGCAATATACACAGTTTAACAAATAATTTCTTTAAAATGTACAATTATTATAGAAATATCTTTTGATTAGAATCGTCACGACATTGTTTTATTATTGACTTTCACGACTCTATCATAAGAACGGTGAATTTTCTTTTTGATTTCGTTCACTAGATTTCCCACTGTATTGTCGTTGTCTATACATGTATTTCGTTCACTAGATTTCCGACTGTATTGCCGTTGTCTATACATCATGTACATGTATTTCATTCACTAGATTTCCCACTGTATTGCCGTTGTCTATACATGTATTTCGTTCACTAGATTTCCGACTGTATTGCCGTTGTCTATACATGTATTTCGTTAACTAGATTTCCGATGGTATTGCCGTTGTCTATACATGTATTTCTTTCACTAGATTTCCCACTGTATTGCTGTTGTCTATACATGTATTTCGTTCACTAGATTTCCCACTGTATTGCTGTTGTCTATACATGTATTTCGTTCACTAGATTTCCCACTGTATTGCTGTTGTCTATACATGTATTTCGTTAACTAGATTTCCCACTGTATTGCTGTTGTCTATACATGTATTTCTTTCACTAGATTTCCCACTGTATTGCTGTTGTCTATACATGTATTTCGTACACTAGATTTCCCACTGTATTGCTGTTGTCTATACATGTATTTCATTCACTAGATTTCCCACTGTATTGCTGTTGTCTATACATGTATTTCGTTCACTAGATTTCCCACTGTATTGCTGTTGTCTATACATGTATTTCGTTCACTAGATTTATCACTGTATTGCTGTTGTCTATACATGTATTTCGTTCACTAGATTTCCCACTGTATTGCCATTGTCTATACATGTATTTCGTTCACTAGATTTCCCACTGTATTGCCGTTGTCTATACATGTATTTCGTTAACTTAGAATTATTTATCATGTTTATGTTATACCCTTGAAATAATTTTTTCACCATTTTATAACCTTTTAATACTGTAATTAAAAAAATTCAACAAAATGTGCCCAAATAACAAGGCTTTTAAATTTGTAAAAAAAACAAAAAATGACACCTACCATCTTTATTCAATCAAAATCATACCTCTACTTGTTTATCGTATTTACCAAAAAACATTCAAAGATCTGTCTGCTAATTTTGACCCGGACATACTAAATTAAGTAACAAACGACCCAGGTGCATAACTAAATCAAGATATCTTTTATTATGGAACATTAGTACTATGAAGATCCAATTTTATTCTTTCCACTGAAATGAAAAACTACTTAAAAAATGTAAATGGGTTTTGCTTTTTTTTTTCCGTTTCAGTGTATATGGAAAAACACCATTAAATGTTAATATAAATGTAAATTTGGTAAACAGGAATTGACTTGAAGCCGAAACTGATAAAGGGCTGATAAACTGTAAAAGATAGTTAACATTTATCTCTTTGGAGCATCTTACGGACTATTGTTCACGATATTATTCATTGTTTGAGATGTCTACATACAGAACAAAACAGCTAAGAGATCAATGTACCGTATTTCCATTTAAATCGTACAATTCACAATACAACAGCACAGTTATCTAACAATAGCTCGGTTATGAACTTACGATACAAATTTGTATTGAATCACTTCTATGCAAATCATTGTATAACAGAAAGTACTGTTGAGCATATTAAACCGTATTGAAACTGAAATGGCAAATTCATTTGCAGATAAAAGCAATTAACAGAAGCCTTTAATCTGAAAGATGGGCTGTAAAGTTATAATGATAACGCTCAATTGTAATATACTTTTAAATTGAATATGAATTTATAAATTTTAATAGTTTTGAAAACTTACTTTGTATTGAAAAAACACTTTTAAAAAGATCAGCTTTCTTCCAAATGTACGTTCATATCATCTCAAATTTTTTACACAATAAACATATTCAGATCTTTTCAAGTGTCCCAGCTCAATGAGTAGTTGAAAGCACAATGCAAAGACATGAATCAGCAGATCTTGAATGAGGATGGCAAACAATAATAAAGTAATAAAAACTTGTAGTCATTTTTTTTTTACAATTAACATGATAAAGATAACAACAAGATCTCACTTCACATTTTAAGAACAGTTTACTTAAGTGAGTTAGTACATGTAAATTTATTTAGTACTGAAAAAAAACCTAAATTTCATGTACTTATGGTTTTTAAGATACATTTTTTTATGATATGAAAAGCCCCTTAACTGTTATTAATGGAATTCTTTTAAATCAGAACCTCTTTGCTACCATGATTTCATTTTAACCCCGACATCGGGTACTCAGTTTCATTGATTTTTAACCAAAACTATAGTTCTGAAACAAAATACATTTTCTTTAGGTTTGTATACAATTCGAATTTGTCAAACGCATGAAATAAAGTATCTACAAAAAAAAACAGAGGAAATTGGAAGCCAAAATAATAAAAGAATTTACAGTATTTATCAATAATGTGATTTTATTCCCCTAAATGCTTCTATCCTCCATGTTCTCTGAAAATTCAAAATTTACCATAGATTTGTTAAAGCTAAATACTGAATTCTTGTTTACAGCTACGATTCATTGCTATCCCTGCAATTGAACCTTCCCCGGGAAGAAAAAAAACGGTAACTGACCTGAATATTCTCCCCTATACTACAGAACGCCATCTTGGATTAAATATGGGATAAATACTTAATAAGATATATGATAGCCTTCTAATTGTTTACTAATTGATTTAATCATTAATTCAGACCCTCTATGGAAGAGCTTACTATTAAATGTATACACAATAGGCATATATTGTATATGTATACAATTGAAGTTTTTCTGT